ACGTGAATTCACGTCACTTTAAATTCTATTCCTGGTGACCGCTGACGTGAATTCACGTCACTTTAAATTCTATTCCTGGTGACCGCTGACGTGAATTCACGTCACTTTAAATTCTATTCCTGGTGGCCGCTGACGTGAATTCACGTCACTTGAAATTCTATTCCTCATTGCCGCTGACGTGAATTCACGTCACTTTAAATTCTATTCCTCATTGCCGCTGACGTGAATTCACGTCACTTTAAATTCTATTCCTGGTGGCCGCTGACGTGAATTCACGTCACTTTAAACTCTATTCCTGGTTTGCCGCTGACGTGAATTCACGTCACTTTAAATGCTATTCCTGGTTTGCCGCTGGCGTGAATTCACGTCACTTTAAACACTATTCCTGGTTCGCCGCTGACGTGAATTCACGTCACTTTAAACACTATTCCTGGTTCGCCGCTGACGTGAATTCACGTCACTTTAAATTCTATTCCTGGTTTGCCGCTGACGTGAATTCACGTCACTTTAAACTCCATTCCTCATTGCCGCTGACGTCACGTCCATAACGATACACGATACAAGTTTGCGGCAACCACTTTCCGAATTTCATTATTTTCCCCGGTACCCGGTATTTGAAACGGAAAAAAATTTTCCGCCCGCGTATGCGTTAACTAACCGTTCCTCCTGCCCGCGCCCTCCGCCGCAAATTGCGACGGTTTACCGAACTCTTAGATTTTCCCCGGAAACTCTCTTCCCTTCCCAGAATTTTCTACCCCTGCGCGGTCGCGTGGTTCCGTTCCCCCGGGTGCCGAGGAAGTGGAGCATCTCTCCCGTTCCCACGTCCCAGGTAACCTCCTTCGAGAAGAAGGTTACGCGAACCCGACGAACGGCCGAGATGTGAATCCACAAAATCGGGGGGCGCGTCGCGTCGGGCGCCGGCATAGTCTGCGCGGCGTCGCGGCGCTCCGGGAGATAATGCGATGCGGGCCGAGAGTGGCGTCGGCGATTCATCTTGCGTAACCTATTTACCGGCAAAGTAGTACGCGCGCATGACATAATCCCGCGTACCGGCGTGGCCTATAGATATACCCACGGTCCGGTTACCATTTTAAATAGACCGAGCTCGGGCTGGCGCATGCGCGTCGCGCGAGCCTGCGCGCGCACCACCCGCGTGCCCTCGACGGGACCTGCGCGCGCACAGGGCGTGTGAGCAGTGCACGAGAAGGCGTCCCGTCGATGCCTCGACGGCGTTTACGGATACCGTATTTACTTTTAAATCCGATCGAAACGCGGCTACTCTACATGTTTAATCACTCGACGTGCCACCCCCTCCGGCTTCGTTATCGCCATTACTCCCCCCTCCGGGTGTTCTGGATCCGGTTGTATGTCGAAATGCTCGCCGCGGGACTGTATCGCCCGGCAAACCTTTTCAAATGCAGATGGAATAATATTAAATCGCTAGAAAGGATAATATCGACGCTGCGACGCGTGTTTTTTTTCTTTTTTTTTACCAGCCTGCGGTCTAGGAATGGGAGGAGTCTCAAATTAGTAGACCCGCGATGCATCATTCGCGAAGTCGCGCTTCGCCCGGCGTCTCGTAAACATTCGGCGCGTGCGCGTAACCCGGTGAGCGCGCGCATGCGCGTCCCGAGGGCTCGCGCGTGGGCGCTCGCGCCGACGCCGCCGACTGGGCGATCCCTCGGACTCTCCCCGACTTTATAATTAAAGTTTCGCTCCTGCCGTGTCGATCGATCCGCTTTTCGAGAATCGAGAGAGACCCTTCCAGATCCTTATACGTATGCCGCGCGGAACGCACGCCTCGAAAATCCGAGGAGAGAGACCCGCAACGCGGAAACCACGTTCCAGCGATAACGGGAGATATAACGCCAATGCGGATATCGTCTTCGCCTCGCTCCAAAAACGAATGTCAAGGCCTCCGGCAAGCATTGAAAAAGGAGACCGCATGTGCGCGTGCGAGGAGCTCGGAAGAGAGCTCATCGAATTAGGAATCTAATTGCAAGAGTAATTCCTATACGATAACATCGTCAAAAATTGCCAGGGTATTCATCAGGCCGATTGATATACTTAAATGAAACACCCATGGACATTCCGCGCATCCCTTTAACCGCGCCCAACGTCCTAGAGAAAACGTATGGTCCAATCGCACTAAACGCGGGTTATTTATCGGACGGTAAAATTCGCTGGGTTAACAAGTGGGAGTTTATTACGTTCCACCTCCAACCTTTCCCATGACCCGATAGATCGTCGAGTTACCCCCTTCCGTGGGAATGATCTTTTTCTAAATAATTTTAAGAAGAGAATCGCGTTCCATCCGCCCCTGGGTTCTTTAAATGTGAAATGGCAATCGAAACGGAGGTCGCGCGTCCACGTGTAGGAAAGCAGGTGAAAAAAAAAAAAGGAATGTATCTTCGAAAAATGCGTCTTCCAGGATCCCATCGGAGGAAACATCCGGAGGGTCCCCCGGAAGGGACCTCCTCGGGGAAGTCCAACAAAGGAGCCACTGTCATCGCGGTCTCCGTTGGCAAGGGGAAGGGGGCGTCGGCTAGGAAGAGAAAGGGCGGAAATCGATGGGAGAAAAAATCGCGATACCGGAAGCGATGCCCCGGAAGGAACGGCCCGGCGGTGGGTATAACCGCTCTCGACGGCTGCGCAGTTAGCGGCTCCGCCGAAGAGTGACGGCCGACGTCACGACGAGGCGCGGCGCATGCGCGGCCCGCGTGTTTACGTCCGCTAGAGGCGCGGACGGGGGAGTGAGAGCCGGCCGGCCGGCGGGGCCGCGCGACCCGTTCCGCCGCGGCACCGACGCCGACGCCGACGCCGCCGGTACCTGCGCCAGGCCGGTTTCGAATCCACGGCCGAAACCGAAATCACGCCACCGGGATTCAAACCGGTACAATACAATTTTTTTTCCCGCCCGTAGAGGTACACGCGAACGCCCCACGGGTACATAGCCGTCGAGGTTCCCGTTAAAGAGTGGGCATAACAATTTCCCCGGAAATCCGAAAACTATCGATTCCAAGATGAAATTGAATTTTCCCAGGGAGAGGCGCATCGGACTACCGGCTACGAGACACGACTACGTAAAAATTCCAAAGTCGGTCCGCGAAGGGAGGTCCACCTCGACCGATAAGGTAGGAATCTCGCAGATGGTTCCGGTAGGAATTCGACGAAACGGGAAATTTACGGTTTCCGCGTTTGGTGCCGCGACGGGACGGACTGCCATTTAAACCGCGGAGGGGGGAAGAACTCTCTTAGGTAATCGACGGTGCGCGGTATCTCGCGAGAGGTCGACGTAAGGTCCCCGCCGACGTGAATTGGGCTCTTCTCGGTCGGAAGGGAGAAAGATGGGCATAGAGGAGGGAGGGACAGAGTTCGATGCGCCAATACTGGGCCTATCGGCACCGGCAGCCGGTACACACCCGGTACTCGACCGGTATTACGTACGGCGCCGCTCGCTCGCACACGTCGGTACTCCTGGCTCGTAGGTAAGTGGCGGTGCTCGTTACGAATCTAGCCGCGCCCACGTAGCGGGACCGAGGTCACGTATTTCTATACCACGCCTGACCGGATGTAGTACGATCCCCCTGCCCAGCCAATGGTATCCAGAACTCGCGCGAGTTACGACACCCATGGATCCCTCTCCACCCGCGCGCAGGCGCGATCCACCATAGCGAACCGAATCTCGCGTGGGCGTCCCGCAGGACCCCCGTCAGGAGTTCCTGATTCCCACCTCGCCTAAGTATCGTTTTACCGCGAACGACCCCGAAACTCCTAATAAAGCGCGCCCTACCGACCACTCGACGCGTGCGCATTCTCGAAATGCTTATTCTCGTCCCGTCTGAGAAAGTCCTAAAAGTCCATAAGAAAAAAAAAAAAGGGGGGGGGGGGAAATGGAAAAAGTCGAGCTTGCGCAAGAGACGGCTCGATCGCCGACTCCTTCGCGCAAAGGCCCGGAACAATTTCCTAGCCCCGCAGGCGCTCTCCTAATAACTCATAATTTATGGCCGGTCCCAAAAGCTCGATTTCGTTCTCTTTTCCCTCCACCTCGCTTTCCCCCTCCCTTTCCTCGGCTCCGAATTTCGGTTTTGGTCCCGTCAGGAAGCGAGGGGGGAGGGGGGAGGGGGGGGAGAGAGAGAGAGAGAGAGAGAGAGGCCGGGAGAGAGGGACACAAATCGCGCGCACCGAATTCCAGAGTCGCCGATACTCTCCCGGAACGAGCAGCAGCGTTGCACTCCCCCCTCCCCCCGGGCCGGAACCGACCAATCCCCTGCCCAACCGCCGGCCGGTGCCGCTCCCCTCCCCCCGCTCGAGACCAGCGGACCCTTGCGCCTCCCACCCCCGCGCACGAATACCCACGAGCGACCGTGCACTCGCTCCCTCTCTCTCCTCCCCACTCCCCTCTCTTTCTGCCCCGCGTGCTCTTTCCCTTCGTCTCTGTTTCCCTCCCGTTCCAGCCGCGCGCATGCGCGCCGCGTAAATGGGCCATCTATTTGATACACTTTAGGAACGAGGTCACGAAAATTAAATTTTCTGATTAACTGCGCGCGCGTGCGCGCGCGCGCGTCACACAGAGAGACACGCGCGTCGAGAGAACCCGACTAGCCGCGCGTCGCTACGCCCAGGGGGAGAGTCTTTCAAAAGGGAGAAAACTCGCCTCCTTATCTGGTCGCCCTGGCTCGCGGTGCTTCCATGAGAGAACGCGACGCCGACTCGCGCACATGGAGAGGGCGCTCGCGCGCCGATCAGCTGGGAAGACCGAGGAGCGTATAGCGCGAAAGAGAGGCTCGCCGCGTCGTGGGCGCGCGGCGCGCTTTGAGGTTGGAATTAAAAAAAGTCCGGTGCATCCGCGAGGGTACCTACCGAGCCGTCGGGGTAATTTAAAAATGCGAATCCGCCCCCCCCCCGCCCCTTTTCGCGGAGAGTTGCATTCTTGGAATGAGATGGTAATTGCGGGATTCCTAGGGAGGGACGCGGGTCCTAGACCATCGATCGGCTACGTAGATGGGATTGGCCGTGGGATGTATAGAGAGGAAATTCCTTTTTTGTCCTGCCTGTACTCCATCTAGGGCCACTTTGAGGACACCTCGCATCTCGGGCTGCGGAAACTCCTAACGGAAAGAGACCGAGGCTCAAGGGACTCCACTCGTGTATTCCGAGATTCGATCCCGGATAGGGGAGATACATGGAATTCACTGCTCTAATTTATCCCACGCCCTGTTTTGCTATTAGGTTGGAAGTGACGACTCTCTCCCTGGATATTATTAGGATTGCCATGCTTACCCGACGAATTAACGGGCGTTCGAGTACTCCTGTGCGTCCGTCTAAAAATAATTTCCTCGTCACCCGGCAATTTCTCGCGACGTCGCGGAAACTCGGGGATGTTCCGAATTTCGATCCGGTTACTTATATAAAAAATAATAAAAAAATCGTCCAGCCTCTTTACCGTGGAGCCGATTTTTCTCCACCTCCAGCTTGCCGTTAATCGTGAATGGGGACAACGTTAATCGAATTAATCGAAATAATTGAAAGCATTGCGCCGTTATGCTCGAGCCGCCTCTTCCTCCCACCTGCCGGCCGGGAGGCCTTGCACCTCCCCCCCCCCGCCCTCGATCATGCGATCGATCAATTATTAACGGAGATCCGACTTTCCTCGGAATTCCATTTCAGTCCACGTGGTTGACTCCGGTCGACCCCGCACGGTGGATCTAGGAGGCGGCAAGGGAAGGAAAGGCGGGAAAAGCGTAGACCCTGTTGCATCGCCGGTTCATCCGAGCGTCGAACTCCATTACTATTTCACTTAAACGAGGCAACGTCACCTTTGAACGATTCCAAGCCCGAAGAAAACTTGATCCCTCCCTCATCCGGTGCCTACCTTCGCTCCGATAATTCCCCGTTCTTTAAACGCTAAGCACCCTCTCGACCCATTAGCGTAGGGAAGTTTTTTAAGAACGAAAAACGTAGCGAAGCTATCGTAATATCTTTCTTCGAAAAAGAAAAAAAGAGAAAAAAAAAAGAGTCCTTTTAAATATAAGAGGCACGAACTCGCGGGGGCGTTTAACGTCGAAGAATTCCGAATTTTCATTTAAGATATCGAAAAAGTATCCCCGATCTGTCCAAGGGCATTTATGCAAGTGAATCGAAAGAACGCGACTTACCTCCTGCCCATTCGGCGCGATGACGACGTCGACCTCGTCGAGGTGTTCCCTGTGCTGGGTGACCTCGGCGTGGATCTCCCTGCCGTTGTAGGTGAGGTAGACCTTCTGTCCGGGGACGAGCTTCGCGCCGGTGACGGAGCCGAATCCGGGGCCGATGAGGTCGCGGTCGGAGTACTCGGTGCTGGGGCTGGGGGGCCGTCCCCCGGGGACGGCGTCGAACCTGACGGAGTACCTCGTCTTGGGGGTGATGCTGAGGCCGGCCTCGGTGGCGGCGGAGGCGGGCGTCTTTACGGCGTGGATCACGCCGCTGTAGTACTTGCCGTCCTCACCGGGGGCGCAGACCCGCGTCCCGATGATGCTGCGCTTGGCGAGCCGTTTCCCGGTCGACATGTCGCCGGTCGGGCGGGAAAGGATCCCGAAGTCGTTTAACGAACTGACTCGGAGAGAGCTTCCCGTTCGTAGAGCGGCCGGGGAGAGTCGCCCGCTCAGGTCATCCTCGCGAGGCGTCCTGCGGGGGGTGTCTCTGGCCGGCGGGATGCCGACGGACGTCGGCGTCCGAGTCCCCGGGGGTCTCTCAGGATCCTCTCGGCCTCGCTTCCGGCGAGCTCAGGTCATCGTTCGCCGGACCTAGAGGCGGCGGGGCGGCCTTGGCGGCCTTGGCGGACGGAAGACGGAACTCGCGCTAACGAAGCGGCCCGGCTCGTCAAGCCGCCGTCCGCATGTTCGGCGCCAGGGCCAGTGATCGATTCGTCGTCGGCACGCGCTGCTGCGTCCGCGGTGGCAGACAGCATAATACGCGCCGCGTGGACCGGCGGCGTCGCGCGCTCCTCGGAGGTTCCTCGGAGTCGGGGCCGGGGTGGGCGCGGCGAGCGGAGGGGGTGCGCGGCGCGCGAGTCGAGCGGCCGGCGGCGGGCCGAGGAGCGTAACGCCTGAGGAGGACGCGCGCGAGAGCCGACATATGACGCACAGCTGAGCGACCGGCAGGGACTGGCGCTTGGCGCACGGCGAGCGAGCGAGCGCGGCTTTCACTGCGCCGGCCGGCCGTGCTCCCGCCCCCCACCGAGACCGAGCGCCGCCACCACCGCGGCCCGCCAGCCCGGGACAAAACAGCTGATAGATAACAACAAACCCACGTGACCCGGCCCCGAGCCGCGATTGGCCGGCCGCTCTGACCTACTTCCTCCGATTGGCCGGCGGCCCGGCGGGAGGGCGAGGGGGGCGGGAAAAATTGCACCCCCGAGCCTCGCTCGGCGAGAGCCTCCTACCGCGGCGTTGCCGATGCCGCGCCGGCCGCTCTCCCCCGGCTTCCGCCGGCACCCGCGATCCTCCGTTCGGGTTTTCCGAAGGCCTCGGCGGCGCTGCCGTCGCTCAGCTGTCACCGCCGCGGCGGCCATCTTGCCGTCAGCTGAGGAAACCGGTGACGAAACGCCGCCGAGTGGAGCCTCTGCGAGAGAGCACCGGGCGAGTCCCGGACAAAGAGCCGGCCCGGGTTTCGACCGCCCCCGCGTCGCCCCCTGGTCCGATCGGGTAACGCGACACCGAACGAATCTCGGAGGACGCCGGCCGGCGACGACGCCGCCCGGCGTCGATCCGACGTTCGGCGTTCAGCTGTCAGTCCCGGGCGGCCATCTTGCATCAGCTGAGGACGCGGTGACGACACGCGCCGAGAGTGGAGGGTCCCCGCTCTCGAGCCAGCGAGGAGAGACCTTTTCTGCCACCGCGCTCGTTGCCTCGTAACGCATCGGCGAGCGTATTGCGGTCATTGTCGAGCCAAGTCGGCCTAGGCACCGCCCGGACCGGACCGACCCGACTTTGCGTTAAAGGACGACCTTTCTTTTCGGTCGCCTGGGTGGACCAAGGCGAGGCGCGCCCGCTACGGGAACGCGACGCCCTCGGGACGGCGTCGTCCCGCTTCCCATCAGCTGAGGACGCCGGTGACGAAACGCGCCGAGTGGAGGCTCTGCCACGTGGGCTTCTCTTTGCTCGCTCCCTCTCGTCCATGGGGGCTGATATGGATGTACGCGCTTTCCGAGGATCGTCGCGTGACGGCACGGTCGATATATATCACCTCTTCGCTCGCCACCGCTCGTTAACCGCCTCGTCTGTTTTCCTCGGAAGACCCACGTGGTCAGGACGCTCGACGCTCGAAAATTCTTGTCCGCTCGGAAATAGTTCATTGCGGATGCGATCGGTACCCTCGATTCGGAGGATGCCGCATTGAGTGAGATGGATTATCTCTGCATTATGTCCGTGTCAGGAATAGAGTTGACTCATCGTGGGCCTCGGAGCTTATGGGCATATTTGCGCGGGAAATATGCTCCGAAACGTATTTGAAAATTAATGTAAACGCCAGCTTACGAAAGGACTATCTCGTAAATTTAGATAATAGGAGAAGTTGAAGGTTATCGCTGTTACAAAAATGATGTATGTTTTTTTGTTTTTTTTTTTAGGGATGCAGGAACGCGGGAAATATGCTCCGAAACGTATTTGAAAATTAATGTAAACGCCACCTTACGAAAGGACTATCTCGTAAATTCAGGTAATAGGAGAAGTTGAAGGTTATCGCTGTTACAAAAATTATGTATGTTTTTTTGTTTTTTTTTTAGGGATGCAGGAACGCGGGAAATATGCTCCGAAACGTATTTGAAAATTAATGTAAACGCCAGCTTACGAAAGGACTATCTCGTAAATTTAGATAATAGGAGAAGTTGAAGGTTATCGCTGTTACAAAAATGATGTATGTTTTTTTGTTTTTTTTTTTAGGGATGCAGGAACGCGGGAAATATGCTCCGAAACGTATTTGAAAATTAATGTAAACGCCACCTTACGAAAGGACTATCTCTTAAATTCAGGTAATAGGAGAAGTTGAAGGTTATCGCTGTTACAAAAATTATGTATGTTTTTTTTTTTTTTTAGGGATGCAGGAACGGCGGTCGCCGCTCTTCCCCGGACGTCATCTTGGGCGGCGGGCAGCCATAGAGGGCGCACAAAGGGAGGACACCCTCTGGCTCGTGGATTTTGTTGCTATGCGGACCCACCAGACGGTCCCGTCGTCTCTCTCCTGCCTTGAGTTTCGTCGATCCGTCCGCAGGGTGCGTGGGACCTGGATAAAAGTACGCGTGTACGATACGTTATCCGTTAACGCTTCTTCGGTACCTGGCACGAGGTCCGCCATCATCACTCCTCTAATTTTATCCATTAAACATGCATATAAATGATTTACTCCTCTGCAGGAAACACCACTCCGATTTGTTTATGATCTTCGGACCAAAGGGAGGCGATGTATAAAGAGACCTTACATCGTGTGGAACGAAAATTCTCGGGCATTAGAGAGATTTTATTGTAACCTCGTCCTGACCAGGGCAATCTACACGCTGGAAGAAACTGGGCAAGTGTATTCAACGTAGGACTTCATTGGTGAAGGTAAAGACTCGCATAGGTATGTTAAGGTGAAGTGAAACACGTCGAGGAACTTGCTCGACGACGATAAAGAAGATTTTTCTAAATGCCTACGTTGCTGACGTTCGTATTTATATTCACAGCTGTGTCGAATTATATTCGACATTGTACAAAATGGCATACTCCACCTGTCGTTTTCGTACAATAAATATCAAGAAATCGACGTAAAACTCCCGAAATCGACTGGATTCATGCTTTCTGGGGCCCTAATTGACTGCAGAGGGACCCCCTGCGCCATCTGTGATTTCCAGGTGAATTAAATTTTCCCTCCGAGACCTCGTATTCCCATGGTTTTAGCATAGAAGGGCATACAACACTTTTTTTGCCTTTATCCCGTTGAAGTGCGAGTTTATCGATTACTAGAGTATTCTAAATTGTCGTAAAATTGTCCTGACCCTTTCGTTTCTCATATCGGAGCCTTCGATAATTGTATATTGATCGAAGTATGAGAGTTCGACGCCATTTTGGTTCTGGTCTGGGTTAAATGAAAAAATTTTTTTCCAATAATCCAAACTTTCAATGTGTCAGGACAATTCTTAGATGATCAGGAGTGACGTGTCAAAGTTTCGGACAGTTTGGTCCAATACCCTTAAAGAAAAGTGTTGTATTCGAATTGACTGATTTGAAAGGGGTTTCACTTCAACTTAAATGAAGCACGTATTTTTGCATGGAAGTCGTCACAGGTTTTGTTTGAAATCCGACGTCGTTCTTTACCCTTTTGGACGGTACGCAACGTCGATGCCCTTCGTCGGACAGCCCTACCACGCGCTGCACCACTCGAAAGGTCGAATAACACTCAGCTGATTCTCAAGTACAAAAAGAGACGGGCGAGGTGGTACTGCGAGGTTTGCGGAACCGCGGAAGGAAAAGGTTGGATGAGGGACGAGGTAAGGCCGAATAGAAGGTAAGGCAATGGACCACGCTTGCTCACAGCAGCCCATCCTAGATTTATTTCCGTGAACGTTGCGCAATGCGCTCCGCCTGACAGCGTTAGCTTCGTCGGCTGAGCGCGACCGAGTCTTCTCTGCGTCTTCTCCGCCATCCACGCAGGTACATACATGCATCTACGTACACATACGTGGATTCACGTACACGCACGTCCCGACCGAGGGTGCCAAAGGCCGAGAGAACGCAGCTCAGACCGCCGACCAAATAAACGGTAACGAGCCAATGCTTGGCCATGAATAACGATCGTAATTACCGTTATAATCAATCGCCCGGAACTACCGCCAAGGCGAGATCGTCCGAGATCACCTGGCTTTTTCATTGAAACCCTTTGGTCGGATGCAGGTTGCATTGCATGGCCACGTGTAACGATGAGGCAGGTCGCCGAACTAAAATTTGGATTTCTGTTTAAGGAAGGATGCTTGGAGGTGAAAGAGAAAACACAATCGTCCGCTTGTCGGGTTTTACTAAGAGCGTTCCTGGGCCAACAGGGATATGGACTCAGGATCGATATCACCGCCGGCCGCCGTCCTTAACACCTGCGCTCTGCGGCTATGGCGGTCACTCCGCGCGGCAGTATAAAATTCAAAATATTCGTCCATCGACTGCTACTCGGACATCTTACTTCCTTAGCCATGGCAACGTGCCGTTGAAGGAGTTACATAGGGAATAAGTTGTGGAGAGCGACCCGAATCCGTTTAGGTGGTCCGATCCTTGTCCACTGTGCTGTTGAATGCGCACATGACACGTGCAATTGCATAGAATTTAGTGATGTGCGTTATGCACCTCTGATTTTTCTTCTCGGTGTAATTTAGAGAGGAGATAAAAATATCCGCTCGAAAATGACGATGAAATGATCGTCTCGTTTTGAAAGCAATGTTGTTAGCCGGTTAGTTTTCAGTCATTGTTCCGAAATCGGTACGCAGTTCATTGGATAATTTATGGATTACGATGACGACGAGGGCGATCACTTGCAACTACGCCTTTGAAATTCAGATTTCAGGTGAATGTGAAAAGTATATCAGCGAGGGATGGGTGTGGAGGCGTAATATCGGTCTTTTGAATTTCGATCCTCGCTTTCTCGGGGGGGAATATTTGCAGCCACGCGTGGTTTTACTCCAGATGACAGCTTGGCTCTTGAGCAGAGATAGATGAAATACTGCAGTAGTATTTTAGCACGTACTACTCTCTAGTAATGCTCACAGAGTTGAATGGTTAGCGTTCTCATGGGTGGAATCGGCTTCGGTTTGCAGTGGGTTACATAATGCATCATGTGAAATATATCACATCGGATTAGTACATATTATTGCTGATATCGAATATATTGAAGACCATGGTACACATTACTGAAAGTGATTTAAAAATAAGTTACAAACATCGAGTATTACTTTATCCCCGTAACGTGGGAATACTTTCGCGCGACACTTCCACGATGGTAGTAAATTAAGTGTAAATGTATAATAATTCCCGCCTTTCGCTTAGCGTAGTTTCAGGATTATTTTACCTTTAATGTAGAAAAAGCGAGACGAGTGCATGAAAATGTTTTCCCAAATTCGGCATGATCATATCGCGTCGAAACGTGAAGCTCGAAAACGGGATATAGTGATTCAGGTAATCCTTGGAAGATACGATTATGTAGCCAGCGCAATAAATGAGCAAAACTGAATTTCTCGTTACAGGGAATCTTTCCAATTTGTATAGATACGACCCATAAACTGACAATGTAACGATGGTTCGTCCGAAAGTAGCTTAATGGTAACTATGTAGGACTTCATTTGAGGAGTGGTCATTTGTTCCTTTTATTGCACTGGGGCTTACCGGTAGTTGTCCGGGAGGGCAGCTGATGACAATGACAGTTAATCCTGGCTATTAGCCCGAGTTGTTAGAATCCTATACCTATGCCTTTCGTACAAGGGAAAACAATTCAAAGGAAGTCCCCATTTCCCGAACAAATTCGTCGGCTACTCCAAATGAGTCAGCATACCTGAAATCTGTATCGGCATTTACGAAGAATATTTTCCATTGTCTATTGTTGAATATTCCAAAGCCGAAAGAGTTGGATACCGTTAGGCATACAATGTGAATACAAATTTTAGCCCATAGTTATTTATACATAAGGCTACCTATAGAGTGTAATGCCGTTTTGCAACCATGTTCTCTTAGAATTATTAATACATTGAAGCATTTATGAGTTCTCGCATTGACACTCGTTAACGCGAATTAGGTGCACGCTAATGGACATCTGAAAATTTCCGTCAACTTAGTCCGCTCGTCGATGGGCGCGTTTTTGTTCTGTCGAAGGTCTTCTTAGGAGACGAAAAGCGATTTAGCTCCAAAACGCTCGAAATGTCGGCGATAAATCTGAAATGTAATTGTACTATAATAGAAGAATACTCGTGCCTTATTCTTGTAACGAACGGAGTTTTTAATATTGTATATTGTCATGAGTACCATCGGGTAGCAAATATTTCACATTTTAAGCTGACGCTTGGATTAACCATTAGGTTTAAAAGGCAAGTTTTAAATACGGCTTAGCATTAATGCGAATTCTCAATCTGTTCCCTACTTTGTCAGGGACGCTCCTGGTAAAACCCGAGAAGCGGACTTTGGATTTTTCCTTAAAACCTTTTCCCTTTTACCTCCTTCGATCTCCTGTACCACAAGAAAGCTAATTTTAGTAGAAATATCTTAAATAAAGTAAAGACTCGTGGGTAATTTACGTTATTCTCAACAGAGAGAATTACATAGAAAATATGTAAAATGATAATGGTACATTTGGCGTGTTTATTGCACTATGAATCATATTTGTGTAATATGCTTATCTTGTCTATAAATAAAGAATACGTTAAAATCTCTAGACCGTTATTTTTCCCAAAATTATTCGATGTATTTAACAAATCCATAAAGTTTTAATCAGCAAATACTTAAATGACCGAATAATGGCCTAGCCCATTTTTTTTTCTAATCGAGTACCGTAAATATGTATCACTTCGTCAGAGTGTACGATCTGGATTGCAGTACATGATACAAGAAACCAATGCAGTAAAAACAGCAAACTCATCTGTATTTATTTAAGGAGAATGACCAGCAAGTTTATGGTATCATGAAAGACAATGTCTACATGAAGTTACTACATCGGTAGCGTATATCGACGTTATTGACATTGGTCTCGTTTGTCTATACAGGTTTTCCAACTTGAGCATTGTTTTCGAGATGTTTATGAAGGATATTGGGGGCGTCGGCAATATTGGAAAAGTGAAGAGAAAAGGAGCGGACTATTACCGGTTTACAGGATGACGTGGTCTGATAACGATTGCTAAAGCGTTGGTACGGACCGTCAGATAAGATACGCGTCTAGTTAGTGATTCGCCTCGAAGGAAGCAAGCAGAAAATCGCAGAAGGGTCCGATCTTCACAGAATGAGTCGCCGCGTAGATAAACCCGAAGACTCTGCTGTGACAAGTCGTGGATTAATGATTGTTTAATTATGAGCGGTACCCCGAGAGCGTATGGATACTGTCTTCTTGCGATCGCGGTACAGTTCTTTGGAGTCGCCGAGTCGTCATCGAGAGAAATGGACGTCTGCTCGACATTTTGTGCCTGCGACATGTGGTACGGCTTGCGACGAGCTTCTTGCACGGGAAGACGTTTGTACAGCATCCACACTGGTGTCTCCGGTGAGGTGCAAGCTCTGGACCTCTCCGACAACTCCATCTCCTCTTTGGGGAATTATGAACTCGCGGCAAGTAATTCGAGCGATGAGCAACTCTTCCAATAATGTTGTTAGGGGCACGTAATATAAATTACTTGTAACATCGAGTTCAATTTTTGTGCTTCAATGAAAGCGTTTGCNAGTCAATTAGGGCCCCAGAAAGCATGAATCCAGAGGATTTCTGGAGTTTTACTTCGATTTCTTTATAATTATTGCACGAAAACGACAGGTGGAATATGCCATTTGGTACAATACCCAATATAATTCCCAACTGTCAATATAAAAACGAACGTCAGCAACGTAGGCATTTAGAAAAATCTTCTTTATCGACGTCGATCAAGTTCCTCGACGTGTTTCACTTCACCTTAAGACGCATGCATTTGATATGAAACCGCTGTAATGTAAGGTAACATAAATATTCGTTTCAGAGCGGAGGTTATTGCAAAAATCATACCAAAGAGTACCACGCGGCGCAATTGCGCTTCTTTACTCCATGTCAAAAAAGACCAAACAATGTGGTCGCATGTTCATAATTTTTCAATGACAATTTGAAGGAACCGTTGGAATAAACATTTTAACTCGATCAGAGTTTATATTAAGTATCACTTTTGAAACAGAATATGAGTAGATGCATGAAAATAAAAATGAAATTATTTAAAAAAGTCGGAGTCTTGAAGACCACGTTTCAATAATATTGACGTTACAACGAAATCCGAGCGTATTATTAATTGAACATTGTGACTCGACGTAGTGGCACTTTTCGATATAAAATGTGAAACATCACGACCGCGTTACGTGGCACTCAAATGGACATGCCGAGATTTCCCTCGTGCACAGTGTATAGATTGAAAAATGTACTTGCAATGCGTCGACTCTTGAAATAATATGTTCATTTATCGCCAAGTTACAGTATCTGAACGGTTGCGACATCTGATATCGAGTGCTGATGTTCTTCATATATGTCTCTCCCGTATGAGTTTCCCAGATCTTGTAAAACGATGACGAAAGGCCTCTCTTACTTTGACACCGTGCCGTAACACTTTTTCTCCACGATCTTATCATTTTTGACACTGCAACTTTTAGGATGCTGGGGTGACCCAAGTCAGATATCTCAATCTGTCTGGAAATGCCATCGCAGAAATCGATCTCAACGCTTTTTCCGGCCTCGACGATCTGTCCGTTTTGGATCTGTCAAGGAATCATTTGACATACCTTTTGGTGGATACCTTCCTCGAGTGCAAACATCTACGTGTATTACGATTGGCTGGGAATAATTTCAACGTGCACGTGCCCAGATTACGCTCTCCCTCTCTCACGGTACGTCACCACTTTTTCAGTATTTTTAGATTTTAAAGCAGATCAAGTACTGGCAAATCGCCTTGCTCAAAGGATTTAAGGCATGACCATCGATACAATTATCGAACAGTAACGGGCACGTGACCGTGGCTGAGCGGCGAGGCTCGCATACCTATCAAAGAAAAGTAGAACATGTGCATTATGGACGAAGAAAAGTGCTGTACCGAATATCGTAATCAAAATGAAGTGCAGCGTGATGATCATATAAAAAAAAATAACAGTACCGACCNTATATATATATATATAAGATCGATGAAATGGAATTAAAAGATCTCCGAGTAGACTTCAGTGTTTCGCATACGTCAGTAGAAGATTGATAAACTTCTTAGCATCGTAAACGGAAATGCTTCTTGTCTTCAGGAGTTAAACATGAATGCCTGTCGGATCAGTCACGTGAGCCCAGGCACGTTCGATGGACTGATGCAGCTGCGTCATCTTGATTTATCAGACAACTTAATGATTCAGCTAGACGGCCGAATTCTGCAAAGATTACCCTTCATGAAGAGTTGCACAATAGTCGGGTGAGAAACCGATCCTTCCCTGACAATGGTCATCCAAGACAGTCATCCTGTATATCTTTACAATAGTGGCGCATCTCCCAAACAATTGATTTCATCTGTTTACAGGAACCCCTGGTCTTGTAATGGGATTATGCGTGACTTGCAAGCTTATTTCAGGAAGCGAAATATCAGTTTTACCGAAGTGTGCAAAGAAGCCGCTACTCCTAGGAAATTTGAGAAGATGATCGCACTCGAGACTCCGAAGAAGTTCAAGGAACCTCGACCGGCGGTCATCGAACCAAGGACAAAAAATAACTGGAATGTCCCCCATCCCATTACAGGCGTTCACACGAACGTGTCAACGAACGCGACATCGGCTCTCGATGACGTTAACAAAACTACGTTTCTTGTTCCGTGGTATCTCATTTTCGGTATGGGTTTCCTCTTGGGTACCTTCGTCGGTGGCACGGTTACTTATATCTTCGCCTCGTCTTTGATTGGATGCTCTTCCTTGTGCACCCGACGAAGAAACACAGACAATTTCCAAAGGGTTTCGCTTTTGCAAGACAACTGGCTGCAGAGCAATGCCGGTGACGACGATGGAAGAGAAACTGTTGAAAATGGGGGACAGGTTTGTCCTGGTACTCCTCCGCCACCATATCGTGATGTTATATTACACACGAATTTGTATCCTAGAACTTCACAGTAAACAGATTTGAAAGCATCAATTCTTAATGAAATTGTGGATTGCAGCGCACGACGGCTCTTATCCGATTTACAAATCTTCCCGAAGAAATCGGTGCTGTCGACATGTTAGAAACAATGTCATAAGTGACGGCCCTATGTTGTCAAAGGACTGACTCTAAGTAAAAACACTAAGATCCTGACGATTATTAAAATACCAAATAAGCATATCACAGATATTATGCTGTACAGAAGTTTTCTGTAGAATGCTGCAGCGACGTATGAATTGTTGCGACGATTTTTATGGACTTATTGGCGAGATCGTAAAGAAACGAAGCAGTTAAAGTAATCATAGTCTATTAATTTCAGTGTATATAATAACATAAATCGATTACAGTTTGTGAACACAATGTCTTATCTCGTAAATATTGCCAGGATCAAATCCTGAACAAATATCCATTAATTTAATTGCTCATATCCGGTATCGCAACAAAGTACGCAGAATTACTGAGTAGCGGCAACGTTACTTTTACCTAGTTTTTGAGTGGTATTTAGAGGTACGGACTTGCATCCTAGGGCAGCCAATATATCTCGTGTAGCCGCAGGAGTATACTTGGTGCCTTTAAGGTTTGTTATTACACTTGCGTCTTTGTTAAAATTTGCAGGCACCACGCCTTCTGGTAAGGTTATTCTAATCTCCTCGATAATTCCGTTCTGTACTTCCAAATTCAAGTTTGCATGATGAACTTCCCCATTTTGCATCGGTAGATCGAGGATATAGGTCACTGTGAATTTTGGAGTTTTGCCATATGTCCAATTCCAAGAACGAAAAACATTGGCCAATTGGTTGATACCTGCGGAGATTATCAATGACTATCTCGAATAAACATCAATTATAATTCCATCTATTAAGTACTAAATGTTTATTAAAACAGAATTTATATATTTGATTTACGAACCAGGAAACCAATCTTCTGTAGGATTGATCATTTGGAATCCCTTTTGTTGTTGCACTAGACCATGGCCACCGTCTTCCAACGTTAGGGCTTTCGTGCGTAAATACTCCCATCCGATAGCATTGAGTAGCACATCCGAACGTATCTGAGAATTAACGTCGATGAGGTTCTTTATTGGGGATCGTAAAGATTCTGTGGCATTTGTACTTATGCCCAACTGTAATTCAATTTGCAGTCATAAAACTAATTTGATTCCAAAGGTATTTGCAACAACTGCACACGGTTACAACAAATGCGACAGAATATAAATTAGTAGCTTATGTCAAATACTATGCGACAATTGTGGAAACACATGTAGGGAAAAGACAACAGATATCGCACGTATTAAAGTACGGGAAGTAGTAAAATTAAAAAGTTACCTCTTTCCTTTCAAGAGCAAAGTTCAAAATAGATTTGTTTACTCCAACCAACACAGTACAATGATGATATGCATTCGGTCGTCCCAATTTAGCAGCAGTTCCCGATACCTGCGATTCAGAATGTTTAAGTATAGAAAGGCTATCTTTATTAAGTCCAAAGTTTGAGTCTGACGTAAATTATACTAAGATAGAATTGTCAAGGAAGATAAATACCTTGAAATCTCCCTGAACCACAATATCATCCCGATTGTTAACGGTTGATTTCAGTCCCCACTCACGATAAAGTGCTCTTGTAACAATATTTAAGTTGTACTTTCTGTTATAACGTTCTCGTGGGGTGAAAAATGATAAATTCAAATTTCCACTATCGTGATAGACCGTGCCACCGCCGCTATTACGACGAGCTAACGTAATTCCATTTGCATCAATATTTTCTGCATTCGATTCAATCCATGGGTTTTGATGGCGTCCTATCACCACACAGGGATCGTTTCTCCAAAGGAGTAAAATATGGTGGTTGGTAAAATCATAATTTTTATAAAACCAATCTTCTAGGGCTAGGTTGGTATAAATATCGGTAGATTGCGAAATAAACACAGACTTTTTTATAGACTGCTCATCAACATGCGGTAACGAACTCTTGGTCGAAGCATATCGCTTTACACGAGACACTTCGCAATATAGGCTTCTACAACCGACGATTGCTAAATTTCTACTGATTATAAACATTCTTCGGTAATATTAAGTAGGATATATATAACTTCCAGCTGAATTGGTAACAAATCAATGGACAATCTCAAGGACTGTAGTTTCAGCCGAAGTTATAAACAGGTCTCTTCTCTCGATCGGTACTGCTTGGCCCTCAAAATACAACGGTTGGTAATATCAGTCTTTTGCGGATAAACCGTTGATGTCAGTCTTAAATATCGGAATTGAAGTCTGCTATATTTTGTAAGCTAGTGCAGACTTTAATGAAAGTTACAAACGAAAACGTTGGATTGGCTTGCGGTAATAGAGATGAGATAATCGTGCAGGGCAATCGTCTGGTGCAGCCACTTCCAGGTCTGGTCTAGGGAATTAATACGGTATCGGATACCCAAACAATCTCGACAGTCCTTTTGCATTCCTCCGTGTGCTGACAGATTGGAGGAGAAAATTCTGTAGGTTACTTCGAGTTAGGTACGACTGTGGAACTCAACACTACGGGCCGTGAGCTTCAACTTTCTTAACCACTTTCTTTGAGTGGACGTCGAATCCAGAGGATAGTTAACACCGTGAACGGTCTTCGAGAACCTCACTCGTTGCCAGCAGAAACGTACAAAGTGCCGATCCTTTTGAGGTTTAGCGTTATATCGCTTCGTAGCGAGGGCGGAGCTCCGATGGAGGGGAGCCTCGGCTGGAGGTTATCCGAGTTCGCAGCGCAAAGTACACTTGATCAGTGCGTGTATCAACGTATCCCTCCCTTGTTACGCGGGTTTTCTCGCGATGGCCAATCGGAGACCGGTCCGATCAAGACATGAAATCTGCCACTGCGTCTCTCTCTGACCAATCGTTACTCACGCTCTTATTGTTCTTCTCGTGTCTCCAACTTGGCGGGATCACGGGGGCAAGATCGCGGTGTTCCACGCTCTTCGCGCATGCATACTTACAAACATTCGCATACATTCACATGCATCCAGAGCGATTAGAGCATAACATATTGTGCCGAAGCATCGTTGGCTGCCTACTGCTCCGTTGTGGCGGCTGAGTGGGCTCGAGTTCGCGCATCCTTCATCGTTTGTCGCTATCGTACGTTACGGGTGGCAATTGAGGCCATTTGATAAGAACTACGATGCCCTGCTACCCGTTACCCCCCGCTAATAGATCTATGGTAGTGCCGAGAAAATGATAACACTAATACTTATAGATCACCCACTTCCACGCAGATGAATATGAATATATCTGCCACGTTATCATTGTTTCTAGTTAAACCACGTGAATTATTGTCACACTAAGCCGAACCGTGAACATGCTTTTTCCTTTTTAGGGTAAAAATTTTCTTAATTGTTTAATAAACACTGTGCGTTTGGGTTCCTTAAGTACAAGGAGCGCTCGTGCTCTACATACATTAGCAAAATGCTTGGGGTGTCGAAGTTCACTCAATAAAACGAACATGCAAACTGGGTTTTTAACCATATACTCGTGAAATGATCGTAACTACTGTGTATCGTTCTCTTTAATATCTAAGCGTTAAGAGATGTTTCCTTATAGTTTATGAAGTGGATCGATCGTATATGTCTACCCGATGAATGGTTAAACAATTTTCTTGCTTACTAGCTATTCTATCAATGATCTCCAAAGGTTATAATTTTACAACAAAGCATAAAATTTGCCGTTTTCAAAAAATGTATGCTATGCTTAATAATCCAGTGCAATGTTTTAGTGTAACTATAGCTAACTCGATTGCTTTCAGATATTGCAAAGTAAACGTATTAAAAAACACCAAGTATCAGTTTTTGGTACAGGAAAATTGTATACATTTCAAAATTTGTTTTAAAATCGTAATCTTTTAACTGTTTGATAGATGAACTTGTTATTCAAGAAAATTAACATGTTTTTATCTTTTGTTTACTTAAAATTAATAGCAATATTGATTTTTACCTAAATTATATAGTATGTTTAGGGAAACTATATACGCACGATGTGATTAGAGGACGGAGATGACAAATATATTGAAAATACAATAAGTCTTTGACGATTAGGGAAACTCGTTCTCTATGTGAACATCATATCTCCAATATGACTTCTCCGAATTCTTGTACACTGTATGATAAAGACAGCATTTTATCTGCTGATAAAGCTGATAAAATGTTGGTCATAAAACCGAGCAGCAAAAATGAAGTTCGCTGCTTCATATTAAGTTTAAACACATGGATATATAAATTGCAGACTCTCAGTTGCCACATGTTAAAGATCACACATATGCAAACTGGAAAACTGGAATTTTAGATTTTTTTATAGACAGTCTTCTCCGTGTACTTATAATTATACTGTTATCAACTTTGATAATACAATAAACTGTTACCAAATATTATTAGTTAAAGTTCATATTAATCGCGAAAGTTAATATAGTTTATTATATTTAATTTGCTGTGAATGTAAATAATCTACTGGATTACAGTTTTAGATATTTTCCAAATAGTAAATTGACATTTATTTTAAATGAAGAAATTAATTGTACAGGAAAGATGATATAAACTTATTAAAATAAATTCAGAATTGCCATACTTAATATGATAAAAGCCAGTAACACATCAATGCATCATTTTCAGCTATTCAGTAATACAAAATTATGTTGTTTAACATCGATATCACGTTAATTCGGCATTATTAAAGTCACAGAATTTTAAGGCCAAATGCATATAATACCAGCAGTCTGAATTTTCTAGGTTATAAATGCACAGTTTTAAACGTAACATGCATCTTGGTAAATTTTCAATTTAATACATTCAGTAAAGGCAAAGTTTCCATTGCATCGCATAGAATACGATAACTGTGGTAATATTTATGTCAGCAAAGTTCTTCACACATTATGGCAGCAAGTATTTAAGGGTCAAATTGCAATTTTAATGCTTGGGTTATAAATGATAAAATGTCGGTACTCTCCTCAATCTGGAATGAAGAGTGTTCGTAATTTGTTTAGAAATATTTGCTTGAAATAAAACACGCAATAAAAAGATAAGTCAATACTAACGAGTTTTGCAGTAGGTTTTCCACTGCCATGCCCAGATTTAGTGTCTATCCTAGCTATAATAGGATTTGTTTGTTTTGGTAATTTTCTTAGCGTGTTCTGGAGTGTTGCTACCAACTTCAAGCTGTGTAAAGGCACCACGCGATCATCATGATCAGCAGTCAAAACTAGCATCGCTGGATATTGTTCTGCATTTTCCGGTGGCTTTATATTATGCAGCGGTGAATACTTCAGGAGACTCTCGAAATGTTTCGGATCGTCCGAACTTCCATAATCGGAGGTCCAAGCATAGCCAATTGTAAATTTATGGAATCGTAACATATCCATTACACTGAAATTGTATCGAATTACAGCAGGTATTTTCAAATATTAAATATTTTATTTTTCAACAAGAAAATCACTTACCCAGCCTGAGCGATAACAGCACCGTAAAGATCCGGTCTTTGATTTGCACAGGCTGCAACCAGAAGTCCTCCATTGCTACTGCCATGTATTGTTAACTTCGATTTATTAGTATATTTCTTTTCAATTAAGTATTCTGCCGCACATTGGAAATCATCGAATGTGTTTTGCTTATTTTGAAAACGACCAGCGTTATGCCACTTTTCGCCATACTCTCTGAAATATAATATATATGGAAGCTAAATTGTTTAACCGTTAGAGCGTAAAGCTATTAGTGTAATTTAGCCTTTACCCTCCACCGCGTATATTAGGAATTGCAAGTATGCCGTTTAAATGCTGGATGAACACAAGCCTTGTCACACTGAACGTTGGTTGAATGCTGACGTTGAAACCTCCATAGCCATAGAGTAACGCTGGCGTGGAGCCGTCCAATACTGTATTCTGAACAATGTCTCTACACTAGTAATCTCTTAAGGGTTTTACCAATTCAATCTAAAACTATCACTTACTTTCTTCATCACGATAAATATGGGTATCAAAGTTCCATCTTTGCTCTTATAAAACTGTTGAGATGTCTCATATAAAGTAGGATCGAAGTTCTTCACCTTGATTTCCCGTAGCACCTGTTATCGGGAGAACGTTATTGTCTAACTTGTTCCAAGAATTAGTGGTCACTGCTTAGAAAAATAAGATAGGGTTTACCTTTGGAGACTCATTTTTTTGTAAATCAGTTGTATATATTATCCCAGGAGTCAAAAAGGAAGTAAATTGATAGAATATCTCTGAATACTTTTTATCACCAGAAATTCCAACAACAGTACCAACATCCAGTGGAAATGTCCTGAGTAATTCTCCAGTTCTCAGACTATGCAGTTGCAACACACTCTGTGTATTAAAGAAAAAATATTCCGTTACACCATCAGTGATATGCGAAATGTACACAAGTTATTTTGCACCTATCCTATTAATAAATTTGTGTTGTAACATGTAAGACATATACATCTTTTTTTTTAATGCAAAATGTATATATTTATAAATTTAGAATGCAAAATGAAATAGATGTACATTTTACCATTTGGGTCAGAAAAATAACATTTTCTGATATTAAATTTTTGCCTATAATAATTGGAGCATACTTTTATTAGTAGTTACATTTATACTTACTTTAACATCTTCAATGTAACACACAACGAGCTTATCTTTATCAACAGCAGTAGCCCAATTTAAAACATTTTTTGGATGCTCTGGCAATAATACAGTCCACTTATCCTCAGTGTAATCATCCAAATCAATAGCTATGAGTTTAAAATTGGGTGCATTTCTATTTGTACGGAATATTGCTTTCGTACCATCATTTGTAACATACTGTAAGTGATAATAAATAATCATTTATTAAATAAAATTTGATAAAAAGAAAAGTAATTTCAAGACAATTTTTTCACTAACCTCATAATCAGCTTCTAACTTCTCTATGACTTGTGTTAATGGTAATTTTCCTTCTATTTTATTTTCAGGTATTAATTTTGTAAAGTACACAAGGTTATCTCTACAATCCTTCAAAGGTGTCACCATAAGCCAGTTACCACAATCCGTAACTACAGCACCTCTACAGACATTTGAAAATCAATCAATCAATCAATCAATCAATTACAAAATTAATTTTATAATATATATTTTGTTGTAGCTTTTAATTTTCTTATAAAAGTAAATAATTTTTCCATGACTTACATTCTCCACAAAGGCTGTTCAGGAAATTCAACTACAATTACATCTTCAGACTGTGGCGTGCCAAGAACATGATAACAGAGTTTTTGATTTTGATTACCCTGTGTTTCCGAACCATCAGCTTTTCCTTTCTGATCAGGATAACAACCATAGAAAATACCTCGATTATCATGAGTCCATGCTATAGGAGAGTATCGAATCATTTCTAGAACCTCTGGATACTTTTCTCCTGTATGTAACAATTTAAAAAGAGAAATGGTTTTAGTACTTAGTCAAGTCACCTTTCTATCACCTCCAAACAAATAAACGATACCTGTTTTTGCATTCATGAAATGAATTGTGCTCCAATCTGCACCACTACGAGACAGCCCATATGCAAAAATACTACCATCTTCACTAAATTGATTATATGCAATTGCAACTGTTCCATCATCTGATAAAATATTAGGATCTATAAAAACCGTTGGTTCTTCCTCTAGGTCATCTTGAGAATACAGGACACTATAAATCAATGATATAATTGTTAAATAAGGGGAAGCAGATGAATATATATACATAGCAATTTAATATAATAAATTCAATCTAAATACCTTTGGTTCTGTAAGCCAGTATTCTGATAAAAATAATATTTATCCCCATGTCTTGCAGGACACGAGTATTTGGGAAAATCCCAAAGTTGTTTCAATCGATCGTGTATGCCTTGACGGGATTTACAGGAAAGTAAATATTCTTTCGAAAGTGCATTCTGGGCATCAACGAAAGCCTTTGTTTCTTCTGAATCGGGGTCTTCCAACCACCTATATGGATCAGGTACCTGCATCAATGATATGAATTATATATTTTTTGGCTTTATTTCCTATCATAATACGAAAAAGGTACTAAAAAGTAATGCAAACTAACCTCAACGTTATGATACGTATCGATAATAGTTTTGTCTTGACGAACTTCTGGGTACTGAAACTGTCCCATGATCCTTGGATTAACGGCAGTACTTAATACTCGATAACCATGTACCTATTAGAAAACAATATACATTCATATAAGATACAGACTGTTCAAAGGATTAGTAGACTATCAATAAAAAATCAAAAAAAGGTTAGTCGTCGTACAACGACAAATACCTACTTTTAAAGATGAAATCGGTGTACAAGGGAAAAAGTAGAACTCGATATTGTTTTTTACTATTAATTTCGTTGCATTAGAAATAATTCTGCCTCTACCGAATATATGTCTCCTCACGCCACCTGACAAAAACGATATCGATGAATTCATATGTCACACAACACATATAATTCTACTGCTTTGTTGAAGAACTATACATAATAAGAAAAACCCAGTATGTTGCAGCAGAGATGGTTACAGAGATGAGTTGGGAGATTGCTCACGGGCAGGGTCGCGCGATCGCATCCTGTGCTGCCCTCTGATTTGATACGTCAGCTTTCACCGTTTTTTGCCCCCAAGGGCGGCGCAACGAATTTCTAGTAGGGGATCGCGCACACTCGATGGCGGTGTCATCAACCAGTCATCGTTGGCGGCTCACGTATCCAATTGGGATTCACGCAACTCGGGTTCATTTTTTTTAATTAATCATGACAGAAAATTAGTACCTTTGCTTATTCTACAGAAGGTAATATTTATCTAATATGTTTTTTCTCGATGTCATAAATTCTTTACAGCATTATTTAGTACATTAAAAAAAGTTCTACATTCAAGCAATGAGCTTAAATATGATTAAATTGACGCCATTTCCCATCGGTATGTTCCTTTATTCAGATAACAGATTTAGTAAGTGATTGGCTGTATCCATTATTAATCTATCTCTCAATTGGATATCAGTTGCGCGTAATCTTGAGAGGAGAGAGAATGAGGGTTAAAGGATATACTCATCTCTTGTAAAATCAATAAGAAATATTAAGCAATCAAATTTAGACATAAAAAGGGGAAGTTTTTATTTGAACTAGTGTACGTTATAAGTTTCAAAAAATTTGTAATAAAGATACTACTAGTATATAGTGGATGTTTGATATTTATATTATATATATTTGATTTACTGTGAATCAAAGTACATAATAATAACAATATTCTGTGCAGAAAAAAATTGTACCTACATATACGCGTTAATAACTTGAAAAATAATACACATATGTAATGATACTACATTGTTAATGTATCCATACAAATGAAAAATCACGAGAATAGTTGTGAGAATATTCAATAATAAACAGGATGTCAAACAGTAATAAGCCATTGATTACTACTGAAAATAAAAGAGAGTATGCTGTCACATGTGTTACATTGACATTTCATTTCATTAACGGATCATATTTTCTGCCTTTGTCATTTTAGTTTCTATTTATTTCATAAATGAGTTTCTAAATTACTGTGTAAAAATGATTGTTTATTTCGTTAATGCTTTTTCAGCGATGATTCTTGGTTAAAATTGCAATTGTTTAAAGACCAAATCATGTACAAGCTACTGCATACACATCCATCTTTCAACAAATATTTGGTAAGTTTCTTTAAATGCGTAGCTTGATGGTTACCAACTTTCCTTTTGATAAATACTTAACTATAATGATTACCGTAAGTATATTAATATTATGAACATATGTTTATAGCTCCATGTTCATTCTTTTGGTTATATTAATAATTAAATTATGATATATTATTATTCTTAAAGGCTTCTAGTATCTTACAAAATGTACCGAAAATGGTATTACAGACACGCACTATAACATCTATAAATCTAAATAAAGTAGAACTTCCAAAACAACCTGTTCCAGATCTGAGAAAAACTGCTGAACGTTACTTAAGGTAATATAACGGAAAGGAAATTAATTTTTAAATTATTATGTGATTAAATCGTACTTTTCGTTACGATAGATCACTGAAGCCTATACTTAATCCCAGTGAATACCGCGTATCCGAAAGAATTACTAATCAATTCATTAACAAGGATGGGCCAGGACCATATTTGCACTGTAAACTATTAGAAAAATATGAACAAGTGGATAATTGGGTAAATTTTAAATATTGGTACATTTGAATAAATGTACGTGTGATAAATAATTTGAGTTTAATAAAAATATTTTTAAGCTAAGTGATTGGTGGTTGCAAGAAGCATATCTAGGATATAGAGCACCTGTGATTGTGCATTCAAGTCCTGGTATTGTTGGCCCATCCCAGAAATTTACGTGTCCAAATGATATGTATGCAGCTGCTGCAAGGCTTATCAGTGCTGTTTGCAAGTTCAACGAGATGGTAAAATGGTAATTTGCTTACTGTAAAATAATATATTACAACAAATAATAATTGAAATTCATGTAATGACAATTCATTGTAGTGGGGAAATAAAGCAAGAAATGGTACGGAATGATCCATTAGACATGCAACCTTATGCAATGGTTCTTGGAACATATCGGCGACCAGATAAGGGTTACGACCAACTCCTACATATTGATAATGCAAATCATATAATTGTCATATGTAACAATCACGTATGTGTATTAAAGTTGTATTATTAAGGACTGATGACTGTTATGGTTATCTTCTAAAAATATTGTTATAAATTACATCTTATTTTACAGTTTTTCAAATTAAACATTACTGATGGTTCCGGTCAATCTACTAGTGAAGGAAAACTAACCACTTTGATAAAAGATATCGTTGAACGTTCTTGTACCGCAGGAAAACCTATAGGACTTTTAACGGGAAATTGTAGAGACACGTGGGCACAGGATCATTGTATGTTAAAAGGTTGAAACTTATTTTATTATTTTTAGTTTTATAAACAGTTTCTTCTATTATTTATATTAACAATAAATAATAGAAGAAACATGACAATAAATGTTACATTATTTGCAACTACGTGCTGTAAACTACTGTTCATATCTAGGTTTTATTTTTACACAGAAAATGGTTACAACCGAAATATACTAAATGACATTGAGTGTTCTCTTTTCGTACTTTGCTTGGACAAGCCTGTACCAAATGAATTATTTCGGGATAAAAACAGTGCATCAGTAAGGGCTTTACAAAGTTTAACAGGTATTAGTAGCAGTATTAATGCTGGTAACAGGTGGCATGATAAGATTGTGCAGGTAAAACGCAATAATTAAAAATTTAAGATATAATTCACACATGTATTTATGTTATTCAGTTAATGACCTAATCATTTTATTATTCTATCACCTCTCCTATTAATTTTCTTGTTATTTATATTGTTTAAGTTTATTCTTTCTTCTGATGGTTTTATTGGAATGGAATATGAGCATAGTCCTTGTGAAGCTGGCCCGATTACAGTACTTCATGATTACGTTTTAAAATATATGTAGGTTAATTATTCATATATCTATATATTTTCTAAAAATTATCTTAGATTAAAGGGTGGTAATGTCTTTTTTATTTTCAGTTCAAATAAGCAAAGCGATACTATATGCAATGAATCAGCAGATCACGAAAAGGTAGAAGAACTCAAGTTCGAGTTAAACAGCAATTTAGAAAAAGTAATTACGAAAGCTGAATGTACTGTACACAAGTATGTTCTTGACCTTCGATTTCCTACATATTATCTGCCAGATATAATAATAATTTATTTATGTATGCAGTCTTACAGATGATATCGACATGGAATGCTTTACGTTCAACGATTTTGGAACAAATGCAATAAAAAAGGCATTATTAAGTCCTGACAGCTTTATTCAAACGGCAATGCAACTTGCATTTTATAGGCTTCATAAACGGCCACCAGTACATTATGAGTCTGCAGCTTTGCGCAGATTTAAAAGTGGAAGAACTGAATGTATTAGATCAACCAGTAGTGAATCGATTAAGTTTGCGCATATTATGACTTGTGACGGTGTGTACAAACAGACGAAAAAGGAAGTAATGGTGGCAGCTATTGATGCACATAAACGTTTTGCTGGCGCAGTAAGACCAATAATATTATTGAAACTGTTCGCATCCCACTTAGGAATAACATTTGTGTATTCTATGTATGCACATTTGTATTTTAGGCAACAATGGGTCAGGGTGTTGATCGACATTTGTTTGGAATGAAGATGATAGCCAAATCAGAAAACATGGAATTGCCAGCATTCTATAAAGATGTTGGTTATACAAGAAGTACACATTTCACTTTGACTTCCAGTCAGGTAAGCACTCTATATGCTAACGGAATTTATAATTATGTAATTGCTATAATGTTGTCTAGGTTGCATTCAAAACACCTTCCTTTATGTGCTACGGGCCTGTGGTTCCAGATGGATACGGATGTTGCTACAATCCTCGTCCTGAGGATATATTCTTTGCATGTTCTTCGTTTAAGTCATGCAAAGGAACGTGTTCAAAATCATTTGCCGAGGCATTAAAACAGTCACTATGTGAGATGAAAGCACTTGCGGATTATTAATATCTATATTATATTAAAAAATATGTTAAATTAGTATATATTTTATATTGTTAAATTTTATCCAGTCGTTATAAATAATGATCTTCAAACGTGTCCGAGTAATATTTGATCTTTATTGATTTATTTTTAAACGCTTATATAAATAAATGCAAATGATTGGTTGTAAATGACCATAATAAGGCTTAGAAATGGTATCACAGTTGCATTCAGAGTTCACTATGTAAAGGGCGTTGGATACAAAAGCAAAAAAGTTTATGGCCGCACATTTGTGTAAAAAGGTTTATATCTATCATACTGATATATAAACAATAATTTAAATACATAAAAAATAATTATAGTTCTTCGTGATTTGTGGAGGTCGATGATCTTTCTGGTGGAAAACCCCAAAAGTATGTAGGATATCCTTTGACCTCCCTTTCTCTTGAGACAAAGGCAGAAAATGAAGATATGCAGTTGCCTATAAAATAATTTGCTCTTCCAAGAATAGCAAGATCTAAATGAGGGGATACCGGCTCATCTTGTTTATGTACACTGACCTAATAATTGGAAATATTCATAGAAGTGTAATTACATAAATGAAACAAATTTTAATAATAGACTCGGACTTTTTCTAGTTTCTTACAGCATAACGTAAATATGATAAACAATATTTTTCTCTAGCTACTTATTTCTAAAAATTTTTATTTTATTGTATACTTTTTAAATAGAATAAGAATAAATAAGCAATTTGTGAAGACAATTCCAACAACAATTAAAAATGAATGTTATTTACCTTCATTCTTGACAGAGCTTTCGTTAATTCTTTAATCATATAATTACTGTCTGATGCAACAAATACGGATTTAATATCATTGCCATTTCGAATAACACGTTTCAGATGACGTATTATTAAATCAGTTGGTGGCAAACACATCGAAACAGTGGCTTTACCACGCTCATTTCGGTAACCCAAACATTGAGGAGCAGCAAATAAATTTGGAGTGTTAGATATGAACTCACAGGCTCGAGCCTAAAAAGAAGATGGAATGTAGAATGCTACGTAATGAATCAAGTCATGTATGAAACAAAAAAATGTATTACCCAATCAATTCCATTGCGCAAATGTATACCTATAAATCCACCCTTCGGTAAATTCTCTTTTATGAAAGATTCTGCTTTCTTAAGCATATCAAAATTCCACTCCAAATACTTATGAAGTTTCTTGTTCTCCAATTGAACCGGAAAACTAGCAGGAGCACCAGTAAATGCTATAACAGGCCATTTTGTTGAAGAATACCTTTTCTGCCATTGCACCGCCATATCAGTATGATATACATCATAATGCAGGGGTCCGTAAAACTCGGATCCTATAAAATCAATATTGAAAGTATCCCAGAAAGGTCCAAATGGATTGCCATCTTTTGCATTGCAGGATCCATTTTTCCGTACCGAATAGCAAAATGCTGCAACAAGATAAAAATAATGTGTAATTTAAGTGGTACAGACAAGCCTTTCCGGTTTACCTATAGTCTTTGTATTGGATAGTACTGGAAGTACTCTATTATTTGAAAAAGTTATATAACGATCTGTTGCTACTGTTTTTGTTACAATATTATTGGGGGTATGTTAAATGTAATACACAGCCTCGATACTTACTAATATTATTTGTTAATATTATTAAGGTATTACATGGAAATTCCTGTAGTAATACTTTGAATGTCAACACCTCAATAACATTAAATGTTACTACTTAATTACAGAATAGCACCACCAGTTAATGACATGCAATCATTTTGACTATGCAGAATGAATGCAGTACTGAATAAAAATATTAAAAGATTGCCTTACTTATATTTTAGTAGTTGACATTACCAATCCAGAATTGTTTAGCTTATACAAGTTAAATTTATCTTACATGTATACTTCTTACGTAAATAGATACAACTTACATATTCTTTCAGCAGGTGGCCATATTATAGGAGAGATCTCGCGCATGAAATGGTTCATTAACAACACTTTGTGAAACTCATGCAAACGTGATACATTGAAATAAGTATCGAAAGGAACTTGAATCTGTAAAACAAAAAATGCATTGAAAATTGTAAAAGTCTACTTTGAATAATGGCTATCAGAATTGTAATAGTAACCGATTTTATCTCTCCAGTACGATATTCTACCCATGGTGGCAGAACTAATGTACGATTCAATGCTTTAGCAAATCCTAAAGCTCCTAGGAAATGGTCAGCTTGATTACCAAAACGGCCTAAAAGAAAAATCATATTAGTAGTTTAATATACTATTTCAAAGTAAGAACCTTAATAAATTAAATTTTTGGTCAATTATAAACTTACCCATGCACGGGCAATAAACAATGTACCCATTGTTGTCGATATCAAAACTATTACAGCATATTTCATTGATATTAAATAAAATAATGCTACATAACAGAAACCATATCATATTTGCTAAATAAATCTAATTTGTAGTAGTTTTTTGTGATTGTTATGGAACAGTTTATTGATCTCTGAAGCAATGTTATTTTCTTCTTTCTCTTTTTCGGATTAAACTTAACAAATGAACCATATATGTAAATTCGATCGAGTCTTGCGGGTTGGATATGAAATTAAACGTATTGATCGCCTTTTAATGAAAATGTAGTTAGACAGTGCATAGATAATTTCTCCTTTAATTCTAGAAATAATTAATAAAAACAATACATTATAGAAACTTGCATTGACAGAGTAGTGTATTAATTGGCATGGATACATTAATTCATCAGTAACCTGTCACGTTCGTCAAATATAAACCATATTTCTCACTGTATTATGTGTATATGTATTTGTCTTTAATTCACATTTTAAAATAAAACATTACTTGATAAATACTTTTCGGCCCTATACAAATAACACAATAACTATTATTTTGAGACAGAAACTTTATTGTTTATTTAAAAGCTACGACAAACATGTAGATGTAAAAAATATGCCATCAGAAATACTATTTCTTCAAATTACTCAGTGAATATTTAGGGGTTATTCTTGACGTCAATTGATCGTCAGAACGCGAGCATTCCTATTTACTGTATATTCAGAGATGAGTTGGAAGATTGCTCACGGGCCGGGTCGGGCGACCGGTCCTGTGCTGCCCCCTGGGCGGAGGATGTGGACGGCTAACGCACTTACCATCTGATACCCCCAATGGCGGCCCAATTCAGGGAATCCTCATCTCTGTGTTAACAAACGTCGATTAACATCTTTTAACATCTCTTACCAACAAGTCCACTGAAGTCCACCAAGAAAACTCTCAGCTCATCTCTAATGATACGAAGTTACATCTTTCAATAATACCGATTATTTTACAATTCATTGTAGTGTTTATTAAATATAGCCATATAAAATGATAGATAATTTTTTCATACATTGAGTCTTGTAAAGTTATGTTACCAAGTTTCTTCAATTTTAATTTCTGTTTACATATAAGTAAACAATAACGTTGACGCAATAGTCTGCAGTAGCTGAAACGAAAATTAGCGTATTTGTTAGTGTAAAGCCTTTTTATAAATCGTGAAGAGGGAGGTGTAACAATTTTTTTGATGCATGTCTTACAAGAATAACAGCAGTCGTGAAGCTAATGATCCTATACACCTTTCCAAAGTAATAGATTTCCGTTTTTATAGATGGCAAGCACCCTGAGCGATGAGTATTCCACGGTGTAGGAGATTCAGTACAGATAGTATACCTAAAAACCAGTTGCTAGTATGCAGATGATCTTCAAAAATAAAACTAACTTGTTTACTTGAACTTATTGGGTGCAGTAGGTTCAATCCTGCTTTCTTTGCAGCACGTTTCAGGGAGTTGACAGGTGTACGAATCTAAGATGTTTTCACCGGAAGTGATGTTCTTCGAAGCAACCTGTTCTTTTCGGCACCAATCAAGGTATCCATGTACCCCGCAACATTTGAACTTAAATATCATAAATATTGTTAATGACTGTAAATACAAGGTGTTTCGAAGCTGATTTCGCAAGTCTTATCAAGTGATTAAATGATACATTAATTTATAGCCATTTCACCGTTGTGTGAAGTCATCATTAAAATCTTATGCTAACAAATATGTACTTTCATTTATAATGCATCGAAAGGAACAGTACCGTCTCGTGGAAGTGATCCCAAATATCCACGGTAGAAGGATCTACTTTTGGCTGGATAAATGACAACATAGAAGACTCCGCATCCAGGATAACTTTGGCTTGTGCAGAAGTTTGCAGAAATGGGATGGAGATCATAACTGCAGCCATCAGCAAGGTGCAACCTGCATGCTGCAAGAAAACATTTCTCTTACTTAGCAAAGTATTCTCATTTGAAATAAAAATGCTCACCAAGGCCATTTTTCTAGGACCGCGGTGAACGAAGCAAAGTCCAGCCGTACTCAAGGTCATCAGAAGAAAAGCTACTACGTACAAGGAGGACAACGATGACACATAAATCCTCCATTTCATGACGACCAATATTGTTTCTTTATAAATCGTCAGCGCAACTGCAGCACCAAAGAATATGACACCTGCCACCTGAGTCAGGATACACACTACTAAATTTTAGTTTTACACCGATTAGCCTTTTGGGCTGAAATAGTTACCAATGCGATGCAATTAAGAATCACGTAGATTAAGCGAAAGTTGTAGTAATACATTGTACGGACAAGGTAGAACCTTCGGCTACTGCTTCTTCCTATATCTGAGGAAGTTGGCTCAACAATTACCGACTGATTATCCACCTTCATTTCTGGAGTCGAAGCCGTTCCACTTCTGGGCCAGGTAGAATTGATTACTGGGCATTGTTAATTTTCAAAGTGACCGATTAGACAGGAAAATCCTGGGGATTATTTATTTTTAGGGCACTAAATGCCTCTTGGAACGTACGAGCCGGAAGTGCCGTGGACCTGGACTTCCGTACCGATTTATTGAGTCCCCACTTCAAGTCCTCCTCCTTTCTTAAGGGAGAATAATGACTTGTGGGAGACTTCTGCCTGCTTTTCGGATTCTGGCTCGAAGAGGGTAGAATTTTTTGCAACTGTACGGCAGAAAATGTACTAATAAAAGCAACTGCTGTCACAAGATAATAAAACTTTGTTATCCCACTTCATAATAAGGTAGAGAATAAAATAAAATAAGAAAATGAATCAATCGGCGAATTGATTAATATTAATATATAAACTGACTTGGCGACCGAGTCTAGGCGACCTTGCACCGATTGGAAATCCGCGATTGTTCCTTCGTTCCAAATCCTCGTTAAAAAGGCTTTGTGAACAAAACATTATTATACTTTTTTTTTTCTTTTTTACCAATGTCTTCATATTTACGTTTTAATGAAATCTACTTACGCTCGCTTCTGTAAGGCGACATTACTTTTAGTACTTGGCGGAAAGTCCGAATCTTCGGTAAAGATTCTGGAATATATTAATTATATATCTTGTTAATTAAAAATGTAATCGTCAGAGATACGTTTCACGTGAAAGGCGTGAATCGTAAACATATTTCATTGGGTTAAGGGTTAATACTATGAACGATATCACCTTGTCAAAGCACCACTAGCCACTTCTTCGGGGGATAATACTTGGTCCTCGGATTTAAAGGACACTTCCGCTAAAGAGGGAGTCAAATCATCTTGCGAATCATCGCTATCGCCTGTCGTTGTCTCGGTACTCGAGCTCGATGAGCTGCTAGACATTTCCGCCTCGTATTTGATTTCGCTTGTTTAGGCGTGGCTTGAAAAAGTCAGAAATCAAGGAATACCGGCTTTCCTCAGATGCGTAGAGAAAAAAAAAAGAGAGAGAAAACTTCCACAGCCTGCTAGGTTCTTAAACATCCTTTGCTGCGCCTCGGTTAGAGAATGATTACATTGAGTCTTCGAGCCATTTCTGAAATGACAATAAGAAGCGTTAAAATAAAACTCGCGACTCATGTAGCCACATACTGCCTATATTTTCAATAACATCGTAAACATCACGGAAGGTATAAAACCATTCGAGTATTCTTTGCGAAGAGTCGATGGACTCTTTCTTGCCGAAATTAGGGAATCGGTCCAATAGCGTTTCAATCGAGAATAAAGTCTCGGTGAAATGCCGACTGAACTTATTATCGTTCCCAGTCCAGTAACTATTAAAGGCGCTCACCACTCCAGCGATTTTGCAGGGCCTCACGGGGTATTTCTAAACCGATCGAGCTTAACGAGTGCTCATATCGAAGATGAAATGTTGACCTGTGTTTATATGGGAGCGATTTTCGATAAGTGGTCATTATCATATAAAAAAGTGCAACGACATAATTTCAATGCCATTTTACCGACGCCTAGTCCAGAGGCGTCTAGCCGTTGTGTGAGTTGTATACGTGCAAAATACACACACATTTTTCGCCCGTTGCTAAACACTGCCCATTATGCGTCGCGTCTCCCTCATCCGAGCGAGAAAGCACGTTTTGGTTACCTCCCATCGAATTCGATGCTAGTGCCATCTAGCGGTGGAAGTCATCGTCCCCACTTGGTGGTGAACGCCGTTAATACAATAAATTTCAGTCGCACTCAAGGACGGACTCGACTGCCTCGTACACCAATCGCGCACATTTGAATTTAACTTTCACGATCACGTAGGCCAGAAGACGTTCTTCGGCAATCAGGAGATATTTACAGTGCATGATTCCTCTAATCAGCTATCAATGGAACTATCGTACTTAATCTTAAATACAGTGGCACAATGTGTATTGCTAGTACCTAGAATACTCTGCGGAATTGCGCCCGAGCCTCGCATTTGCGATCCTTATCATCAAAGATTAATCAATGGATCGATTGTAATTAATATCACGTATATATAATACTCATATATTGCTAGCCAAGCGTGAAAACAGATATTTGCCGTTTGATTTGTACACATTATGGGCGAGGTGCCCTATTTCTTTTTAATATCGTTCGGGCATTGCCCATAACGTATTATTATAGTACATCTAGTAGAATTAACTCAACCAGCTTCCGACTTATGAAAAATTGGTAGCGCACGCGCAGAAGGAAGCTAGGCTTCATTGAAACGTAATCTTGAAACTGTTTTCATCGCTCACCTAGCAATTTAATATTACATTTAGGATATTTTAATGCGTCGTCCTTGTAATCGGAATTACGACTTTTCGGGTGAGAATTTCTGTAGTTCCTTTTTTATGGCGGCGATCAACGGTACCGCGGGGTCTTCCGGTGGCAGCTGGGGGTCCACCAGGATGCGATGAGTGTCGACTTCCGGGAGATTGGGCCGGTGGAAGGGCCCGGCACTCAGGGGCCGCGAGCCCCAGGCCCCGCGCGGATGTGGACCGGAGTTTCCGGTTTCCGGAATCGTTTCCTGGATTCCACTTCGCGGCAATGACGTCCTTGGCCGGGTTTTCGTCTCGGACGTGGGAGTGGCCACCGGGCTGAACAAGTTCGACAATTGGCCCATTATTACAACCGTGTCACGTCATACGCAATCGAATATAACGAATACGTAGAGAGAATGTCATACTGTAAATAGAAACCTACGTTTCCCCGATGTGAAATTCTCGGTAATTTTGGAATTGCAGCCAAGGCTTTTGGAAATGTTCGACAATTGGTGCCTTTTGTGAACATCTTATGATGATATGAAAGACGCTGAGAAGTTTAATCGGAGTCGAGAAATTAAAATTCATCTATACCCTTTTTGGTGGTAACGTCATTTTGAATACTAAAGTGGTAATATAAGCTGGCGCGTCCCGTTACCGGCATTTATATTTATGTCGGAGTCTTTTACAGTCTACGTTGATAATTATACGAACCGAAGCGTTCCATATGTAATTTCGGTAACGTAACGACTAAGAGAAGGAAATATCGAAAACGTGCACGGGCCACGCCATGTTGGTTCTAGTCCATGATAAATAAAGAAATTTATTATGAAAAATAAAATTTCCTGAGTTTCAGGACCTACTTTAGAGCCTCCATATTTACCTGGTAATATTTGAAACGAATCGATACACCCAATTCGGAGAATACTCTCCTCAACGATTGGACCTCTCATATATGTACAGGCATTCTTTCATATCACCTTATGGGTAATGTAGTTTACCACGTTTATGCAGAAAGCGCAGCACACCTGACATTTGCCGATCTTCCTCTGGCCTCGGGTAGGACCGTGTTACGTTCCGGGGAACACGTCGAAGAGGGTGGACGAGAAGGAGCCACGTCTCTGGATTTTGCATCTCGGCTTCCAAACAGACTGAAAGAGTCCTCCAGTAGCTCGTGGAGCCTTCTTCTGGCACGTCCAACAGGGCCCCGGATATTCGGAGGGTCGACGTCCGTCTCCGAAGTCGTATCTAGCAAATAATACGGCAATTTACGTCAGGAACGCTTCTTTGATTCTGATTTTATCGAACGCGAATGACAGGAAAATCGTACCATCGAGCGCTCGTTGTCTTCTGAGGTCCCAGACGATGGGCCCAAGTACTCCAGGGTCTCTCGTTGCGCTGGGTGTCTTCGTTAAGAATCTCTCGTCCCTCTTCCCAGGATCGGTGGTCCTGCGCGGCACATCCGGGGAATCCATTTCCATGTCAAGGTGTCTGATCTGAAATTAACAAGTTTATATACTTTTCCACTCCTCCGCAAATACCCTAAGAAAAAAAGATTAGTTGACTGAAATAAACATATATTGCTGGTACACATTGTTGCCTGAATCATATATAATTCGGAGGAACAACTAATTTGTTGAGAAGAGATTTTATTGAATTTCCTTTACTCTTTCTGACACTTCTTTGGACGTATGTGATCGCAGGATTTTATTGTAACAATGCATATTTCATTGAGTCAACCAACTTTTTTCTGTTTTCTTTTTTTTGTTCGGTGTACTGATTCTGCGGTTGTACCACCGTAAGGAAACTAATCCTGAATTAGTGCAAAGGTATATGATTATTTTTGAATACCCTGGGAATATTTTCACAGAGTATATTCACCCGGTGAAAGACGGATACCGTTAAAAAGTGAATAGCGAACGTAAAATTATTATCTTTTACCACCACAGGCTCTAAAACCCTGGACAATGGTTCCACGGTTCGCATGGTGGGAAACTGCTTGCAAGATGGCATCGAGAGGTAAGAACGGGGCGAGACCAGGTCCTCTTCTTGCACACGGCCATTTTCCGGGTTTTCTACATTTTCCAGTCGACCTCTTATCGTATCCGTCCTCCCGACTCTGCCCATCGTGTCCACGGAATCGGGTGTTCTTGGACGATCGCCCATACTCGCTCTGCTCACTCTCTGATGCTCGATTCTACATAACAGAAAAAGAAATAACAGAAAAGTATCATTAGTAACGTTTTGCAATTTTAACCGTTTTACAAGTCTACCTATGTAAAATCCTTGCTACACCCACCGGTCTATATCATACCGAATTTGATATAAATCGTAGTATTAAAAATTAATACATATACGTGGTTTATTCTACAAACGTGGGGTGGTACTAGAGAGTATTGCGTTTATACTATGAAATAAAAAAAAAAAACATATTAATGTTTAATGAATGAGGGGTGAACTTGGGGTTAGTTTAAAAGTCAGAGCAAACGGAAGTGAAAAGGAGCCAGGAACGGGAAGAGTACCTGGGCTTCCTTATCCGGGCGTAATATTCCTGAGCGTTCCATGAAGCCGAGGTCCTTTCTCTGCGGGGTTCCTCTTCGTCCTCGCTGGAGAGGTCCTGCAGCTCGTCGATCACGCTATCGGGAGTGATCGGAGACAACGGCGTCCTGGACTGACTTCCGGGAGTATGCCTCCGGCTGGTACGCTCCGTCTGTGGATAAAAAGGGACGTTTCTTTTACATTTCCTGGTAGACACGTTGTCTCGTTATAATCGATATCACCCAGGACGTTCATTCCCTTGAAACGCGGTCGATGCACCTGTACACGCAATGCCAAAGTGCTCTCAGAAAATAATTCAAGTCAAACCACGATAATGGAATCGACTACATCAATTTGTCTTTTCTTTTTTAACATAATAAAAAATACCCCCCTCATTGAATCAACATACGCAGGACTAAACGAGAAATTGTATAACTCACTGAAATACATTTTTGTTTAATAAACTTGAGACTTATGGGCATTTTTTTTAAGGATAAAAATTTTCAAGGAAAATTCCCTTTGCACGTTGGAACCGAGACCTCCTCAAAGCAAGCGTGGTTTTTTCGTTTCGGCCGGATTAGATATATTCCTTTGAGTAATTTCTTTTTCTATTATTTAAATAGAAAAAAAAAACAGCTCTCGATTAGGTTGCTCAGGTGAGCGACCGGATTAGGGTTCCCTCTCATGCCGATGGTCGCTCCCCGTTTCGGCTGGTATGATGCGATTGTCTTTTCGCGCCGACACGCGATGTCTCACGAGCCTTATCCAATACCGTAGCAACTGAGTAATACCGTGCGTTAACATCAACGTTAACATTAACATCAACATTAACCCCCACCATACCAGGAGTCGCTCGGTTCCGAAATGGGCGTCCCTCGTGCCGGCACGCGAGAGCTCGCCCATTTCTTCGGCGCTCCTCCGTTTCCGGGGAATCCCGAGTAATTACTAAATTCTAAATTATTCGAGTAAACAGCTGTACCGGAGGTATCGGGTACCACGAAACAGCGAGAATACGAAATTAACCCCGAGCAACGATCGGAGCTACCCTAACTTCGGTCTCCGAGGTGTATCCCACGTTGTCGAGACCCGGGCTCGTGGACGCGTATCCTGGGTCCTTCTTCAGGATGCTCTGGGGCGGAGGAGCGGAAACCGCGCTCTGGGCCCGTTTCCTTTTGGCGAGATGGATGAGACCCGCCAAAACGAATGCTAGGAGGATCAGGGCGGCTCCTGCTGCACCCACAAACAGCCAAGCGTCTCTTTTCCTCGAGAGAGCCAGGGGATGTGTTTCCTTCAGATAGGCTGAAATCCAAGCCGATGGTCAAGAAATAGATCAACGGATATCTTGAAATTCTCCCTGCGCTGAAAACAACCAATGGGAATTATACGTACATTTTCACACCCTACATAACTGGTTTTACATAAAAAAAAAAAAAAAAAAAGAGAAAGAAACACGTAAAATGGAAAAATTACAAATCAGAAAATGACTTAATAACTTTACGTATGGGTTACCATATGAAACCCATCAATATTATCACCGATTGTAAGATTACCCTCGAAATGTACATGTTTAATGTAGACCAATTATACATTTTACATGTAAAATTACCCTCTGTATGTGATATTACTCTTTATGTTTACGCGTTTACATCAAACGTACGCCTAAAATGCATTCTTTGGGTAAATTTAGATACCGAATGCGAGATTATATGGACAATGTCATTTTACGTTATTAATAGTGGCATGAAAATAAGCAATTATTTAGGGTGTAAATTTACGTGGGAAATTTTTTTTTTTTTTTCCTCAAAGTGTGCATCCGATCGCGTACTCACGTTCACTTTGGACGATGACTGGAGCCCCGAGCTCGAGCGCGACTTCCTGCTCGGATAGCAGGGCCATGTCCTTGGCCGCGGTGGCCGCGGGAACCGGCTTCCCACCGAGATGGACGGAATAAACGAGCCTGGTGGCACCGCCCTCGGTCACGCTGGTGTTTTGCATCCTGACTTGCACCGCGCCGACGTCCAGACTCCTGAGCTTGGACCTGCTCGCGTTCGAGGACGCGGACAAACCCGTCGAGGGATTGGCGAAATCCTTCGAAAGGGAGAAAAATGGGGACAGGGGGTCCGCACCTCTCCTTCGCACGCTCGACTGGGAATTAAATTTAGGTTCCGTGGAGTTCCTGGTCGCTGGAACCTCCGTGACGTTCTCCACCGGTTCCCCTTCATCCGCAGGACTTCGAGCTACCAGTCTCGATGATCGGATGTTTCGATCGACGGAATCGTATCCATTATCGACATCCTCTTCAGGTATAAGCGTTGTTTCCGTCTCGTCGGTCCGTTGATCCTTTGCGAGTCTTCCGGGTCGCGAGCGCCTCGTCGAGGTCCTCGAGGTGGACTCCGTGGGTGAAATTATCGGGTCCTTGGATCCGAATGATGGAGAGGACTCCGAGTTATTGGTCGATCTCAGAAACTGGAATGATATACCATGGGGATTAGGTTTTTGAATTTCGAAAACTCGTTTAGGCGTGGTAAAGTTTCATGCCTCCTCGAGGTCCTTCCAGGTCGGTTTCCCTCCCGTTCCTCGGCGAGCCGCTCTTCGGCTTCTCGGGTCCATCGGCAAAAGTCCGAGGTGTCGTTGCTGTTGCCTCGAAAACGCAGCTCGGTATAAACGAGCCAAGCGAAGCTCGACTTTTGGTGGTACCGTTTCCCCAGCTCTAAGCACGGTCAAGAGCCAATACCTGGAGAACACCTCGCAAGATCAGCAATGGATTATAATCTAGCTTTACAGCGATATAAAATATGGAAATTAGACGTGCCACAAGTAGCACGTCTTCGCTCTTGAACGTCTTGAAGGATCTTTCTAAAACGGGGACTTCTAAAGTGCAATGCCTTATTGACCCAGTCGTGTAAAAGTAATATACTTAATGCAGTCATATATAAGAAGCATAAGAAATAAATTCTCTCGTGTATGTGTAATTAATTCGACATGAATTACCTAGGTCCAGGGTCGTCTCCGATCAGGACGCCAATGTCTTGGTCGACTTCCTCCAGAGTAGGAGTGGGCTCGATGCAGGACGCGCATCCTGGAACACGGGGTTCCTCGGTGCTCTTCCCAGGCTCTTCTTTCTCTCCCTCTGGTAGATAAATCGTCGCCGTGTGGTGAATCGTCCTGGTCTCGTAGAGCGTCAATGTTTGGTCCGGGTCCAGCCATGGTGGCGCGTCCTCTGCGCCCGTCCAGAAGAAGTCCTGCAGGTGAACTCGCCGGCCCGGCAGGTGCTCGATCAGGACGACCTCGTCCTCTGAACGAACAATATTTTCCGCCTCTCACTTCCTTTTCTTCCTCGTGTATTAATTCATTATTATATCGAACCGATATTTTCGACGTAAAATACGTATTATATTTCACGAAGATACATATAGGGAATTCGAGAAAACTTGTGCACAGACGCGCTTTGAAAAAAATTAAATAGGCAATTGAAATAAATGTTTAACCCCTTAACTTGTGCACACTCGAGATAATTCGAGCGGCGTTGTATTTTATGCTACTATAATATTTTCACCCTCGAATATAATCGAGAATTTTATTTTTTTCCCAAGACAATGTTCTAGTGTTTTTTTTACTTAAACAAATTGATTTTTTTGGTCGGTTTTTTTTAAATCTGTGCGTTAAGGGGTTAAAAATAAAGGAAGTGGCACCATTTCAAACTCTAGCTTTATTTTCCATACAGTCGGCATCTTAAGTAATTGATATGCTTTAAAATTCCTGTCGCATGATCGAAAATGAGTAATCGTTGCAATCGTTGCGATCTGCGATCGGCCTTAAAATATTGACAGTATATCAGCGATTTCCAACGATTTTCGGCTGATCTCCGCGTGATCTCGAGCATTAAAATCCTCAATTTCCCAAGATAATACTCCACATCTATAATTTCGGAAGACGTATTCTACGTAAAACTTGTACTACAGACGAACGCTTAGCTCTGCCGAATATTTTTTATTCAGAAATGTCCATTTCGACCCGGATGAAATTTTAGGGGATTTCGCGGAACAATTGCAAGAGACAAACGAGAAGAGAATGGCAATGGCGGCAAACATCCTGTAGAAATATTGAGGGCTCGATTGACGGTGCTGGGAATCGAAACCACAAATACGTCGAAAAAAGAAAAGCCCTTTTAAGGCGAGCCCGACGGAAAAGTCCAGGATCGCGTGTTGGCATTTTTTGGGGGTGGTTTAATCGCGATCGCGGTGGCTGGCAGTGCCACCAAGTTTCGGCACCTCCCTCGTTAGGATAGCATCCCCTCGCCACCCTTTTTCTCATCTTGCTGCTCAAGCACAGATATTTCACGGCGAGCAGGCACGTAAAATCGCGTGACGTCACGGGAAAGCCGTCAAAGCGATCACCCCTGTTTCCGAAGGATCAATTTGTCCAAGCCGGTCGATACACCCTTGTTCAGCTCGATTCCTTCTAAGCTCGACCTAGAACACGTTAGGCTCTTCCGAAATCGACTTCCCGCCAAATGACTTTATCGGCATTGCAGTCTCTCACTTTTTCCGTTCTTTCCTCACTGGGAGAGGCCTATCGCCGTTTTATCATGCAATTCGATAAGAGCAGTTGTTTGCGCCGTTAAAAAGTGAGCGCTGAGTTAAGTTGCTTGGCGGGTAAATTCAGGGTCCGTTGAATTTGCACCACGCACTAATTTAAATGAAAAACATAACAATAACAATTTATTGTAGTAATAAAATACCGGATAGAGAATACAATTTGTCAATATGAATTTGCGGTACAATCGCGTGTCCGGTTTACGCACTAAGTCCCAGTGCGGAGACAAAACATCCGAATGGTTCAAAGTCCTATTTGAGTCTAATGTCAAAAAAAATGGAAAGTTGCATTTGCGATGCACTTTCTTCCCTCTCCTCTGTCGAAAGCTAGGAAGGGATGCACTTGGGATGCTGAGCCCTGATTGGCTGACTTTAGGACAGCATTTCCCAAAGGATCGTTTTTTCCAGGTCGGCACAGACTTCCTCGAATCCTGGAGAAAGTTCGCGATGTCTGGTAGCCATACGATACCCTTTTTGAAGTGCGTCGCCATGGCAGACCCTGAAGTGGCCACTTTGAAGAACCCCCCTAATTGGTCATAAATTTCGAGTCCTTTCTCTAGTTATTTTCTAACCACGTGCAGGACACTCCTTCGAGAAAGAGTGTCTCGCATTGTCCATGGCCAAATGTTGCTCAAATGTTCTTCAGGCCGCCTCACTCCAATCAGATGGTTCAACAGCAGTTCTTCGCGAACCCGCTACAGGATTAATTTTCGTGGATTTGATTGATCGTTGAGACTTAGAAGTCTGATGCCTTAATTCGGCCCACTCGTAATTAATTCTTTCACATTTCCGAGCAGAACCTCGCTGTAGATTTATTCCAAATCGAAATAACGCTGCTTGGTAAAACTGAATCCGCCAAGATGGCCGTACACGTAACGATAAATCGTATTTTATACGATTTGTAATCCGTGCCGTTAAATCGAGTTGTATGGCGTCCACGTGTTATCCACATATCAATAAAATCTCTGTATACTGGTTTATACAAATTTACCGGTAGGTGCGTAGCCACCTTTGCTCATACGCGCCGTCACGGAGATGTACATTCATTTTTTTATGTACGCGACGTTACTGATTTTTCATTTTAGGATAATGTTCCCTATTTAACCCGAAACGCACAAGCTATCGGACCTTGATGCATCGGAGTGATTTGATATATATCGCCGGCTAGGACGAACTGGCTGCACGGTCCGCTTGCGTTTCCGGCCCGGAAGCGCCGCGGAAGTCGCATATTCCGCCGTGGAAAAACAGTGTCTCTAAACGTCTCGCCACAATATTCGGTAGTGGATCAAGCAAAAGGAATATTCCTCGAGAAAAATCCTACCAAGGTTTCCGTTCGTACCACATTTTATAATTGTACCGCAAAACGCTTAAGATAAAGTAAAACCAGGTAAAATCAGGTAAAATATAGAAAAATCAGATCATTCACCGAATAGTCGCGATCGGGGCAATTGAAGGAACACAATGAAGGCGTTACCAGAGGCACTCAATACCGTAGGTATTTTCGGGGCGTTAGTCGTGTTAAATCGATAGAAAAGCAAGTTCCTATGGTGAATGCGTGAGACCGCCATCTAATTAAACGTTCCGTCAATCACGAGTTCCCTTAAATTGGCCATTTACCTCGTCGAGCACATTCTCGTACCGTAAGAAATCATTAAAAGTGAGCGAAATCACGCCAGCGAGCAACCAAAAAGAAAGGCACCCTCAATACCAGGTTATAGTTCCGTCCATATTTACCATGCCACCTGAGGAGCACAATCGAACGAAATACGAAGACAAACTTTGACAATTACGGCGTCGCTTCGAAGGGTCGATTAGAGTTAAATTACGAATTCGCGGGTTACCGACAAATCGTTCAACAGGGTGAACCGGCAGATAAGGATATCGATCACGTAGCATTGGCACGGGCTATTCTACTTATTACTGGAAGGGAATTGCAGCACCTAGCTACAACTCGTACTATACGAAAGAAATGCACTCGAAGCTCGGTCTTACGAGTAAGTGCGCTCGGGGTCCGGGATTAAAATTAGTTTTTCTCTCCTTTTAGGGAAAAGCAGCGGACAGAAGATCAGTTTAAGGTGAAGTTAAACACATCGAGGAACTTGCTCGACGTCGGTGAAGATTTGTCTAAAAACCTACGTCGCCGACGTTCGTCTTTAAATTGACAGCTGTGTCAAATTATTTTGGGCATTGTACTAAATGGTATACTCGACATGTCGTTTTCGTACAATAATCCTAAAGAAATCGAAGAAAAACTCGAGAAATCCTCTGGATTCATGGTTTCCGAAGCCCTAATTGACGGCAGAGGGACCCCCTGCGCCATCTGTGATTTTTGTCTCAACTAAATTTTCACTTCGAGACATCGGTTTAGCGTAGAAGCGCACAAAACACTTTTTTGCCTTTACCCCGTTAAAATGCGAGTTTCTCAATTACCAGAGTATTCTAAATTGTCGTACAATTGTCCTGACCCTTTCGTTTCCCATATTAGAGCCTTCGGTAATTTTATATCGATCGAAATATGAGAGCTCAACGTCATTTTGGTTCTGGTCCGAGGTGAGCTAAAAAATCTGGATTAAAAAATCTTCATTTTGAAAGTGTCAGGACAATTCCTAGGTGCTCACGCGTCATGCGTCAAAGTTTCGGACGGTTCGATCTAATGCCCTTAAAAAAACATGTGCTACTGGAATCGATTGATTTGAGGGGGGTTTCACTTCACCTTAAGACATTCGCAACCGTTGACGTGAATTCACGTCTTTTCAAGTTCTATTCCTGTTTACCGCTGACGTGAATTCACGTCATTTTAAATTCTATCCCTGATTGCCGCAGACGTGAATTACGTCCATGATAATACACGACACAAGTTTGCGGCAACCAGTTTCGGAATTTCATTATTTTCGCCGGTACTCGGTATTTGAAACGGAAAAAATATTCCGGTCTCGAATGCGTTAAGGTGAAGTGAAACACGTCGAGGAACTTGATCAACGTCGATAAAGAAGATTTTTCTAAATGCCTACGTTGCCGACGTTTGTTTTTATATTGACAGCTGTATCGAATTACATTGAATATTGTACCAAATGGCATACTCCACCTGTCGTTTTCGTACAATAATTATAAAGAAATCGAAGTAAAACTCCAGAAATCCTCTGGATTCATGCCTTCTGGGGCCCTAATTGACTGCGGAGGGACCCCCTGCGCCATCTGTGATTTCCAGGTCAATTAAATTTTCACTCCGAGACCTCGTATTACCATCGTTTCAGCAAAGAAGCGCATACAACACTTTTTTTGCCTTTATCCCGTTCAAATGCGAGTTTATCGATTACCAGAGTGTTCTAAATTCTCGTAAAATTGTCCTGACCCTTTCGATTCTCATATCAAAGCCTTCGATAATTGTATACTGATCGAAATATCAGAGCTCGACGCCATTTTGGTTCTGGTCTGGACTGAGTTAAAACATTTTTTTGAAAAATCCAAATTTTGAATATGTCAGGACAATTCTTAGGTGATCAGGAGTGATGCGTCAAAGTTTCGGACAGTTTGGTCTAATACCCTTAAAAAAAAGTGTTGTATTCGAGTCGACTGATTTGAAGGATGTTTCATTTCACCTTAAGACTTCCAGCACTTCCGAAACCCTCTCGACACTCTTGGTGTCACGCGACCTTAATTCGTGGAGAAAAGAGCGTAATGGAAATCGCCGCAAATAGCCGCGCTCGGCCGCGACGAATCGATCCACCTGCGAGCGATAACTAACCTGCGCCTGGAGGCAGGGCCGCCTCCACCCAGAAAACCGGTATCAGGAAAAGAAGCCGAGCGATTCCAAGAGTGACAGAGACCGCGACGCAAACGAGACTGCGAAGCATCGCGGTACGCGCGCCTCGCTCTACTAGACACACCGGCGACACTTTGCGCGGGCTCGCTCCCACCCGGGTCGCCGATAAGGGCCTGCGATAAGGTAGTGGGGAACAGAGCTTACCCGGACGCATGCGCCACCCTGAACCCCGCCACGAGCGGCACGAGGCCGACCATCGCGCGGCGAGGAACTGCTTACAAATTGATAAGGAACCGGCAACGAAGGGTGGAGGAGAAGACAGCGAGAGGGAAAAAAAGGGCTACGTAACAATGAGCGACAAAAAGACCAGGGTACTGAAAATTACGGATCCAAGTTACTAACAACTATCCAAAGGAACGATCGAAAGGGAATTTCGTGTTCACGTTACCTACCGATTAACACTAGGTTTACGGGACCCGTCAATTTGACGGAATTCAAACTTCGAAAAGAAATACCGAAAAAACCGTAGCATTAATTTTAACCATTTTTGTATCGTAAATTAATCATTTCATCCAAAGAATTTGTACACGCAATTATTTTTTCCTAAGCCTTCTAATTATTAAAATCTGTATGTAGTATACCTATCTCTACGAAACCCGTCAAATTGATGGACTAGCTAATTTCATAAACAATCCATATATATTTGCCTCGTTGCAGAGAGTGTAAGGCGAAGATGAGAGTGAAAGTTTGCATTGAAAGTGGAAAGATAGAAGGATCTTCGGATAGTGAAGAGGAAAACTTCTTGAAAGGGTGTCGTAGCAAGAAAAGGATGCGCATTCTTTCTAGTTCTGACTCCGAGGATGAGAGGACGAGCATTCCAATCATTTTCGTGATAATTTTTTAAAAAAGGACTTTTTACTTATTAATAATTCATTTAAACGTAAAGCCCAGGGTTGTTTAATTCAGACTTAATTTGAATGAATCGATTTTTTAAAGAAAATGCGTGTTTTCGTTTACCCGTCAAACGGATGCTCGTAGAAACAGGTATATATAAAATGCCCGTAAACCTAGTGTTAATCACAGAAAAGTCGAAAACAAGTAGTATAAGATCCCGAGTTAACAAGAAAATTTGAGGTTTGGAGGTTGAGCTCGAGTCTTCGGGAATTGAGATGTAAGGACGTCGTAGATTTGGGGGTGAACCAAAGCAAGATATGGTACATTGTATTTTCTTTTAATTATCGTACGAACCATTACTTACAAAGCATGTTGTATGGTTGTTTTACGAAATTATCGTTATTTACTTTGATAGGTGATACGCTATGCAATAATAATAATATAACATTAATAATACATAGGTATAGCCGATATTCGATAGGCGGCGATATGAACAACACGCGAATACATGAACGGTACGTGCGAGTCTCTCTCCTCGCTCCGTATCTCTCAAGTACATAGATGTATATGCGTAGGATAATTTCTAATTACGCGTTATCCTAGGTATTTATATTTGCATAGTGATTTATTTATATATTTATATAATACGGTCGTTAGAGATGCGTATGTACAAGTTTTGTATATACAGATTATTTTGCAATTTTAATATATACCCCACTTCTCCCATCTCGTTTAGCCTCATCGCGACACTCCCACTTGTCGTTTGTTTAGGCAACTTTTTACGTTCGCCGGAAGTGGTATCGTTCGTTACTGGGATGGGTTACGTGAATCTGGGTGACTTTTCCTTCCGAGCTTAAATCGGAGCTTGTTCGAATCCAGAAATCATACGTATATAATACTTCTATATCGCTGACCGTGCTTGAGAATACAGGAAGTCTCGAATCCATAAATACGGAAGAACGCAAGGTTATTTGGTTACGGTTAAATTCGTGCCGTATGTTCTCCGTCGAAATAAAACGATTACCATTTTGATTTATATGCCCGTTGTTTCGATATCTTCGAAGTTAGGCAAATGGCGTCGGGATTTAAAGATGGCGGGGAAGTCGAACTTCCACCGCGATATCGAGAGCCCGATCGACGATACAGAAGTATTACCATTTAAATTTCGGCTCCACTCGATTTCCTGGGAGTGTAAGACAACGAGACTCTTCTAGTTGAGTCGGTGGTCGGCTGAATGATCTTTCACCGTGGAAAAGAGATTTTAACGGAAAACGTAGCTAGACTTCCCGGAAGAACCTCTTTCTTTCCGGCCTTTCGATCCGCTAGGTAGCTGAGTATTTTCAGGGCCGAGAAACGGCCATCGGGAAGGAACGCGATGTAGGACCTTCGAGGATATTCTATATCCCTTTTCCGCGGCGAGACCCCGCCGGGACCACCGAAACCGATAACATAAAGTACGGAGATATCCTATTAAATAACAATATCCTATAATCGATATTCAGTCAGTCGGCATTACCCACTTAGCGCTTTATCGTACATTGTACATTTCACGGTAAAGGCACAAACGCTTTTTCCCTCTCGAAAGAGTCAGATCTGCACTTTGGAATTACAGTCAATAGCTCGACCCCAGCTCTACGTATTCGTACCTTCATCCCTACCTAGAAACCCCCAGCCCTTTCTTCGGCGTCTCTCCATCGAGGCAGTATGATCACATTCGAAAAATATAATTATGTATAGAATTATGTATACACGATTACGGCGTCGCCACGCAGGACGTCGAACTCTGCATTCGACCTCGAAGTCACTAAAGAGGAACATTTACCATTTCTTTCGCGTCCCATAGCTGGCGCGACCGCAAATTAAGAATTTCAGCTTGTCTTCGCGCAAATGTATCCTGATCTCGGCATTTAAAAGGCATAGTTTTTCTTTCTATGGTCTATCCCGGATTTTCGAACCGTACAAGAACACGATCGACTTCTTTCTCATTGGCCTCGCGGGCTTCGTGACGACGCCGTAAAAAGGCACTTCGGTAAATCGACCCTACACCGCACCCTCGAATCGGCAACAGGCTCGCCGCAAATGCGATCGTCGACCTAAGCTCTAGGATTTTAGTTCCCTAATGTCCAAAGCTCGGTACCTTGAACCAACGATCGAACCGCGATGGTACCGACCTCGAGGTGGACCCTCGAATGGAAAATTTCAAGACAATGGTAAGGATTCATGGAAACGGCACGACATATCATTCGGATAAGTGCAGTTATTAACTTTAACCGTTACTCTTGAATGTTAAGGTGAAGTGAAACCCAGAACCAAAATGGCGTCGAGCTCTCATATTTCGATCAATATACAATTATCGAAGGCTCTAATATGAGAAACTAAAGGGTCGGGACAATTTTACGAGAATTTAGAACACTCTGGTAATCGATAAACTCGCATTTCAACGGGATAAAGGCAAAAAAAGTGTTGTATGCGCTTCAATGCCAAAACGATGGGAATACGAGGTCTCGGAGTGAAAATTTAATTGACCTGGAAATCACAGATGGCGCAGGGGGTCCCTCTGCAAGTCAATTAGGGCCCCAGAAAGCACGAATCCAGAGGATTTTTGGAGTTTTACTTCGATTTCTTGATATATATTGTATGAAAACGACAGGTGGAGTATGCCATTTGGTACAATACCCAAAATAATGCGACCCAGCTGTCGATATAAAAACGAACGTCGGTAACGTAGGCATTTAGAAAAATCTTTATCGACGTCGATCAAGTTCCTCGACGTGTTTCACTTCGCCTTAAGGAATTGGAATTTTAAGCGAGACGTTAAAAGTGGCGTTGGGAATTCTTTACAATCGAGGGTCCGGACCTCGGTGCCGACTCAAGGGCTAATTCAAGCAACCGGGGCACAAGCTCTACTAATATCTTCACAAATCGCAGACCAGCTGCTCGGTGGGTCGTGCGCCCCGGCTCGCAAGGACACCAAATAACGCTCGAGACCAATACGGAGCCCGGCTTGATCTGTACAACTAGTCAATAATTAAATAGTATCAACCGACGTCGGAATTAAATAATTTATACTCTCGTGTATGTACAGAGCTCCTTCGTCGCGGTCACGCTCGCGAATTGGCTAGTGGGAGTAGCGGTGGTAACGATTTCGAAGTTACGACCAGCGTCGAGTGCGAACGACACCAACGACGATGGACCACGACAAAAACCACTGATGGCTCCTGGAAATTAAACGTAGCGGTAGGAGAAACGACAGCGACCGTCGCTCCCGTTAACGATGCTCATATCATAAGAGATGTTCCAGATTTGCCTTCTACAGAGTAGGTGGACCGACCCGGCAGTTCCTCCCCGCTCCTCGAGGCTAGCGCAAGGAGTTACCCGAAGCTCCAGAAAAGAAAACCGGCGTTAGAACCCACAATTTAATATTTAGGAATATCGTTGTCAAGGGATCAGCGTGGTTGCTCGTTTCACGAAATGCGCTTTCTGTTAAAGCTTGCTTCGATATCGAGAAACACAGCGGAAAAACTGTTTACGCGGGGTGAGTCCACCAGGTATGAAGTCAGATCGAAATCTCCTCTTAATGAGCGTCGACATCGTCATCGATAATCGACTCGCTTCGAAGGAGTTTGGCAAATAGAATCTCTCCTGGCTCGGGAATTCTTCGCGAGAGTTCTCTTTTCCCCCCCTCGCGGTCCACTATGTTATTTGCTCAGGACTCCTGGTTCCTGCATGGCACCTGCCCCGTGGCGTCGGCATCGAGCATCCGATGAGACCGATCTTCGTGGTCGAGTCTCCTTCGGTTCCAGGGTCGAGGATGAGCTATTTAACTATCAGGAAGACGCCAATCACTCCGGCATATGCTCCGAGTTTAAAGGCGACTCGGAATATCGACGAGTACCATTCTAGCTAACGCATGATTACACTTCGACACCTAGGACCCTGTCGACGACGTACTCGTACCTCTTCGGCTCGTTATCGCCGGTTTCGTCGGTTGGCTTGGCCGTCCCTCCGGCTCCCTGGGTGCTTTTGCTGTCTTCAGCTTCCCTGGTAGGTTTGCTCGACCTATCCGACCTGTTTAAACTGTTCGTCGCATTTCCCGAATTTTCGGCAGGAACGGCTACGCTCTTGGAAGCAGCATTGACCGTCTTGCCTCCGGTTCCCGCGGAGACACCGTTCACCGTCGTCGTCGACATGCCGTTTGTTGCCCCATGAACGACGGGTCTCAAGCCGGTCCTTGGGACCTGACCGGCACCACCCCGACCATGATCGGTAACGGACTGACCAGTGGCCGGTTCCGATGCGTATCTCCTGTGTTGGGCACTAGGTACCGGTGGCGAAGTCAGCTCCGAAAAGTCCTCCGGAGGAAGCACGGGAACGTTCACGTTCACGCGGGTGAAGAAGGCCATTTTCTCCCTAGAACCCGAAGACGTGCAATTAGTAATCAGCTCGTTCTCCTACTTGAGAACGTAGGTTTTGTCGAGCACAATCTGCCGCGAGTAGAGAAGAAAATTGACACTTACTTGAAGGAAATAATGTCGGGTTTTCCCTTCCCTGCCTTCGTTTTCCTCAGCTTGTAGATCTCCTTCGAGGTCTTCTTCAGCATCTTTTCGACTTTTCGGTCCTCGGCGCTCTTCCCGTTCTTCCCGCTCTCTGCTTGAGTCATCAGAGTTTGGAACTTGTGGTCCTCCAGCAGCCAAGCGGCCAGGTCTGTATCACCCTTCTCGCGAGCCTGCTCCAGCCTTTGTTTCAGGTCTCGCAGCCTGCTCAGCTCGTCGTGGAGATTATTCAACCTAGCGTGCTGAGCCTGTAGATCCAGCTCGAGATCCAGAGACGTTCTGGCCGTGGGTGGCAGGTGATTGGATTTTTTCGAGGCTGTTTTACAGCTCAGAGCAGAAGACGGACGTCGCCATCGGAGGGACCGTCTCTCAACGGAATTTCGTTGGAAAGGCCCACCTCTGCGGTAAAGTGGCATGCTGCTGTCGCTGTCACTTCGGTTCAGCTGATTGGCAGGGGAAAACCTTCCGTTAATCTCACCGCTCATTCGTTTACCAGCGGATTTTCAAAAGAATCGACTAGAGATAGCTTACCCGACATATATAATGATTTCTGCTAACGGCCGCGCTAGGGGAGAACGTTTGGCTTCGTTTGATGACGATGGAGTTCTTGTCGTCGTGGACGGCACCGGGTACAACCCCGGCCGCAGAGAGTCTCCTCTGCTTGCCCTGTTCCGGTATGAAGACGCACTCGGTGTTCGTCTCTTTGTCCTGAGTATGGTTCTCCTCTTCGGCGAGTTCCTCGTCCTCCTGTAAAGTGACCAGAACTTGATTAAAAAAAAAAAGAAAGAAAGAAAGAAACTTGAACAAATCAACAACTCGGGCATCACTCGCCCTGGTCTCATCCTTACGTCGTCCATTAACAAAAATATACCTCATGTTCGAGAACGTCCTCGAGAACGTTCTCCTCCATCATGAACTCAACGATGATGCCTTCCTCGTCGCTGTCCTCGCTGCCGCTGTCGCTGTCTCCTTCCTCGTCTTCCTCTTCGGGGCTTCCCAGGCAATTAGCCAGCTCCTCGAGCCTCAGGGAGACCGCGGTCTGTAACTCCTCGCAGCCTTGATTCCTCGTCAAGGTTGAAGTCTGGGAGCTGATGATGGTGCTCTCGTCGCTGCTTTCCTCCTTAGTGTTCTGCGCCTGGGTGCCTCGGTACATGGAGATATCGGACTCCTGTTTATCGTGCTTCCCTTGTTTCCCAGATATTACGCTATTGCTGGTACTCGGCGTCTCCGAGGTTGAGGGTTGCATGAAGCGGAACGAGAGGATGTTGTACCACTTCACGCTAGGCGATTCCGGACTGAAGTCTGCCAGCGAGACTTGGGCCGAACCCTGAATCGAACGAAGAGCAATCGACGGTTAGACCAGCTTCGGTGAACACCTCTGCGTCTCATTTTAAGTATAATGCCAAGCTGCTGCGAACTCGAGGGGGGGGACATACCAAGCACTCCTCAGACTCGCCGCCGGTGCACCAGACGTTGACTTGCAGCGTTTTCGTGTAAAGCTTATTGAGCGGGACGGCGATGGGGAATGTCTCGCCGAAGTTGGGCTTCCTCAGGTCGGTAACGGGCTTCGTGCTGCACACGTGCCCGACCGGGGGCTGCATTGGAAGCAAGGCTGTTTTGATGTACCTATACCCCCAAAAAAGATACAACACATTAATACAACGGATCAAATGAGCAACAACGGTACCACCATATTATATGGACCATCAGAATTCACTAAAATCCAGTAAATGGAAAATATTCCATCTTCGTGACGCCCTTATACAACTCTAGGCCCTATATCCATTATTAAAAATTGCGGGAACACGGTTGGGATGAATAGAAGAGATGCGAGGAAAGAATTAATGCCGGCGAGAAGAGAAGACGGTACGAAAGCGAGGTCGGAAGTCGTCAAGGGTGTAGAAGCCCCGAGGCATGTGTAAGAGACGATTTCCCGTACGCGTCGGCATGCGATCCTAGACAACCGCGATGGTTGAAATCCCGGGCCCACGCAAGGGCCGGAAATTATTTATCGGCGAAATCGACGGGTGACATCATTCCTATATCGCGTACGCGCTCGGCAGCGTGTCTGAAATTGGAATGCAATTATGAAATCACCTCCCGGTGGATCAACGACCAGCCGACGTACACCGCGGCCGAGCTTACGTAACGATCAAGACCGACACAGCGTCGCTGCCATTAACTCCACAGCCGGTTGACAGAGTTCGGCCTTTCGGCCGTTGTATAACCCTCGTTTGTATGCGAGCGTTAAGTGACGCGTTGTCTTCGAGAGAGAAAGAAGAAGGAAGGGAGAGAGAGAGACCCGGAGGCCTGAAAGTGCCACGCACGTAATGTACGTATCTAACTGGCCCTTTAAAGCGATTTAGAATGATCTAAGCTTATGGGGCCATCAACGAGATATACTCACACTTGCGAGTTGTCAGGAATGAAGAGGGCAGCCAGGTTCCTCGCCCGCTCGATGCCGACGTGAAGGAGTCCATCACTGACCGAATACCTGATGACGAAACGGTAATAATTAATACAGGTAGATTACTTAATGGCGTCGCGGCCTAAGATATGAAATGGTTAAGGTTCGAGCGTTCAAGGATCATTCCAAACGCCAGGCATATCAAGTCGAGCTTGACTCAAATGTATTGGAACGGATCCGAGGACCTCTTTGTGACGCGTCATAATTCACCGCGACGATGAAGCCACTCTAACATAATAATATTATATAATTCGTTGCGGTCAAATGCAGGATGACTTTAGGATTCTTTTCATCCTGGCGCATTTGCGTTCTCACATAGGGCTCAATCGTCATACCGAGTAATGGATGGCTCGCTGTGAAATCGCGACGGCATTTGCGAAGGACAAAAACTATTATAACTCCAACGTACCGCGGCCAGCGTGGTTGCCCACTGACCAGGATTTTCGCAACCATTTGGGTAAGCGGAAGATAAACAAGACCGTTTGAACAATCACCTGAGTTTGATCTGCACTTGGGCCGTCTCCAGATTCATCTCGCCGAGAGCAAGAGGATCGATGCCAAGCAGGCCGGAAAGCCGCCTTCTGTTGGAGGCCTCGAAGACCCCGGAGTCGCCGGCGACGCTCTCGTCGGATACGGCGGCCGAGACGGACCTGGTGTTGGTCCCCGAACTGCTGGCCCTGGACCGAATGCCCATGGGCGGCGGGGTTTCGCTGATAGGCGAGAGGGGAGGCTCCTGAGGAAGAGGCAGGGCCGGCCTGCCCAGGCCGCTGCCTTGCGACATGTTCCCGGACTGGAGCTCCATCGGAGGCTGAGGACTCGCCTTGCGGTGCTCCGCGTTAGCCGCGAGCTGCTCTTGGATGGCCTGCTGACTGAGCCTGAGTTCGGCGAGTTTGTCCTCGAGCTGGTTCCTGTCCAAGGGCGAAGAGTTGGAGGCCAGCAGCCTCTGGTGGCGCCTCTGCATCTCGACCTGCTCGTAGGCCGGAGGTGGGCCCACGGGGGCGTTCTCGTAGAGGGGCGAAACCGGGGGACTCACGCTGGACAGGCTGGACCTGGGTGAGAGACTCGGCTGCGACCTGCCGGGCGAGGGCGTGCCCAGGGTGCCGAGGTTTTGTTCCGACCCCCTAAGCAGCCTTTCCACTCTCCTGTGCAGGTCCACCATGTCGACGGGTCTCTCCTGTTGGACAGGCCCCAGACATTGGGGTCCACCGTAGATGTCCGTGAAGCTGAGTCCGGAGCTCAGAGAGCCCTTGCTGCTGGTCGTACTCAGGCTGCCCAGGCTGGAGCTGCTGCTTACCGACAGCGTGCTCGCGCTCAGGGTCTTCAGCTGGCCCTCCAGCATCGCCATGGAACGCAGGGCGTCGCGCAGTTGTTGCAACAGCAGCTGCTTCTCCTCGTGCAAGCGCACCCTGTCGGTGATGGTCTTGTTCGACAGCTCCAGGGCGTTGTTCAGGTCCTGCTCCAGCCTCCTGATTTCACTCTGGATCTTCTTCATGTCCTGCTGCGTTCTAGTACGCGGGGTGATGCTGCGAAGTTCCCGGAGCAGCTGCTCCTTCTCCTGGAAGAGCAGCAGCTTGTCTTTGTCGCTCTCCGTCTGACCAGGCATCACCTTCTCCTCGAGGTCGGCCAGCTGCTGTTGAATCTGCTGGATTCTCTTCCTCGCCTCGTCGTACTGCAGCCTCATCCTCGCCATTTCGGCCAGTCTGGTGCCGATCGGCACCAGCTCGCCGGAGAGGTCGGTCTGCGAGGCCGTGCTCAGCTTCTCCTGCGGAAGACTCAAGGTGCTCGCCTCTGGACTCCCTTCGCAAAGCTGCAACCTCGTCAGTTCGTCTTTCAACTGCGCCAGCGACTGCATCAGCTCAGCCTTCTCCTTTTCGCCGGAGCTAAGCGATTTCTGGATGTTCCTCAGCTCCGTCATAATGGCCTGCGCTTCGGTGATGTTGTAGCAGCCGCCATTGTGGGCGCTCAGCTTCTGCTCGACGCTGAAACCACCCAAAGAAAATCTCAGTTGTGAACATTTCGTCGAACCGTGGAGTACGGTGGCGAACATGCGTCTTTTCTTTGCAGATATAGCGTCGCCATTCATTCGCGTCCAACGCTGTACCTTAATACGAACGTCCACTTTGTCCCTCTTTCGTCACCTTGTAACTCCCTGAAGACTTATCGAGTAACATCGATGCTTACCTGGCCAAGGTGTCGACTCCTCGTTGCGTGCAGTTCATCTCCGCGCGGATCTGCTCCAGTTCCCGCTTGAGACGCGAGACTCGACTCCTGGCTAGGGCCACGTCGGATTTGAGAAGGTCAGGGTCGTATTTCGTGCTCAAGGAACTCGAGCTGGAACACACTGAAAGAGGAAACCACGAATCATTTTAGGCGATGAAATAGGATCAAAGAGTAAGATATTCTTAGGTGGATTGACACTTACGACTGGTGCGGGAGGCGCCGAGAGTCGTCAGGGCATTGTTGAGATGGTTGTACTCGTCCTGGGCGAGGCACAGCCTCTGCTGCTTCACGTCGTAGATCTCCTTCTTGGCCTGCAACAGAAGGGCGAACCGTGCCTTTAGAGCTACTCGAGCCCAAAGTCTCTTCCGTTTTTCACGCGGTGAAGTTTGTCAAACGCGGTCGCTGAGACAAATTCCTAAACGGAAAGTTCTCTTCAAATGTTGGACCCGTTTATGTACAATCATTTATGTTTCATGTACGGCTCACCTAGGCCTTCCTTCGCCCTTTAGTTTGCCGCCAAAATTCCTCCTCTGTCAATGTCGAAGAAAGTATAACGTGTCGAGGCAATAATCGAGGCGTTATCAAAAGCAGTTTCTCGTTAAACCTCGGAAACGGTCACGGCCTACCCTGCTCGGGTAAAGAACTCGGCAGAGTTTCGCAACAAATACGCTTTGGAGCACGAGTTACGTTAACGGATAAATGGAGGGAATTAACGGGAGGAGAAATAAACTTGCCAGAGAAGGGTATAAAAATTAAAGGACGACCCTTCGAAGGAAATTCGCCGATAACACTCCGAATTAAGATCGAGGCGAGATTCCAAGAATTGATCATCGACGGACCGCAGAGTCTGCGGTTGCATGCAAATCTCTCCTCGTGGTTGACACGGAAGGTTTTCAGCCGCGAACTCGAAATTGATTTCCTCTCGCGTGTTCGCGTGTGCATTCCCGTTTTTCTGAATATTACCCCCTTTCTTCCTTTCGCCTCCTCGTCCCTCGGCCCTCTCACGTCACCCAGGCTCATTATGTCCCGGCACGCCATTATCGCGCGAATCGTCGAAAAATAAATCACGAGGGGTGTAACGATCTCCTTAAACGTTTCCACGAGCCTCCTTGTCTCCGACCATTTTTATCCTAGACTGGGACTCTCCCGATATAATACCGGACCAGTCTTACGGTTCCCGGGAAAACCCAGAAAAAAGTTCAAGGCGATCGTAGCAATCGACTATTTCGTCTATTAAGTTTCGGCATAATTAACGTTACCCCGCAAGGTAAATAAGAAATAGCAAAGTGTAAGTAATTGGACATCGACCTAATAATACGATAACGATCGCGAGGGAGTTTCGAGCATACTTTATATCACGAGGAAAGAAAAAACATTCGAAAACATCCAAAATTCCCTACTTAAATCGACGAAGGGGGAACCTATTCAAGGTTACAAATCGCGCGCAGCACTCTCGACGCAACCTCGTCAAGGTCGGCAAACCCACGTGACACATTCAACCTTCGTGCAAGCGGCACAGATCCTAGTGACACAAGAATGGGACATTGTAAATCCACGGGAATTCTAGGAAACACATCTTAGCGTTAAATAATGCTGCTGAAGCATAAGCAAAGATAGCGTAAATACAACGATGCCGACGAGGACGCGTCGGTATCGCGGATATCGAAACGCGCAAAATGGAATGAAAAACACGGAGAGTAAGGTCGTGTTCAGAGCCGGCTCTCATAGAGGCGACGAGAATGGACGAGAATGGACGAGAATGGACGAGAATGGACGAGAATGGACGAGAATGGACGAGGATGGACGAGAATGGACGAGAATGGACGAGAGAGGGCCACGTGAGGGCCGCCGCACGTCGGGTAAAATCGCGCGGTTACCGCACCCCCCACCGGCGGTCCTTACGTATTCGCAATAGTAGTAGGCCGTGGCGTCGGTGTCGTCGCGACGGTAGCACTGCTCCCAGTAGAACCTTTGGATCTGCTCGTCGTTTTCGTAGTCGTTGTGGTAGCACATCCTCATGCGGTACCGCGATACGATGTTCTCGTAGATCTGCTCCTGGTGGTGGTAGTGGTGATGCTGCTTCTGCTGCATCTGCTGGGAGCGTTGCTTCTGCTGGGCGTGCTGCGGCTGCCGGTGGGCGCGATGGCAGTGGTGCCGCGGCGCCTGCTGGTGATGGGAGTGGTGCTGGGGCTGGAGCTGGTGGTACCGAGGGTGGTGGCCGTAGTGGCTCTGGTTGTAATTGTCGACGTAGGTACGGTACTGGTGCGCGGGCACCAGCACGCACAGGGTGTACTGTCGGTCCATGCCGGCTGGTTCTCCACCTCGGGATCACCTCATCTTCGCGAAGGCCTCCTCCAGACTGGCCGGTTACGGGCCCGAAATTCCGATCCCCACCTCCGAGGCTCAATTTTTAAGGGATCCCCCTTTTTTCCCTTCTCTCTCTCTTTCTCTCTTTCTCTTTCTCTCCTTCTCACCCCGTCTCTCTCTCCCGTTCTTCGTCCGTTTCTTGCGCGCTCGGCCTCCGCCTCTCCCCTCGCGCGGTCTCTCTCTCTCTCTCCTCCGGCCGCGCGTCCCGCTAGCCGCGTCTTTCTTCCCCGGCGTAAAAAGGCGGGCCTCATCTCAGGGGTCCGCAGGCCCGTACCGGCGGGCCCGAGACCCCGCGGGACGGGCCCTTCCGCCCGGCCGAGTTCCGAATCCCGAACCCCCCGGAGGACCGGCAGCGTCCCAAGGAGGTTCGAGGGAAATTCCCGAAAAATTGGGGAATCGCTCGGCCGCCGCTCGAGGATCGCGGTCCGCGAGACGTTTCCACCTCGCGCCGGGACTACGTGATCGCGAGAGCGGGGGGCATGGGGCCCCGGCGGCAGTCGGTACGCGACTGGCGGTCCGGCGAGAAGCAGGGCCCCGCGAGGTCACGCTACGACCCTGCGGTGGGCCCATCTCGGCCGGTAGTAGAACCGACCTTGAGTCGCGCATTATGCCCCGTCCTTGTTGGAATTTCTGGGCCCAGGGGCACATCAGCGTGTCTCCGATCATCTAAGAGGGCCCCCGCCCCCTTCCCGGGCCCCCCTCTCCCTCGGACGAGGTCCCGGGGCCCAAGCGCATATTTCTCGGTCCACTATTATTGTCGGACTCGCAGATGGTATCGTACGAGCCGGTTCGCTCGCCTTGCGGAAAAAGACCGCCCTTTTTCGCTCTCCCCCTTTCTCTCTCTCTCCCTCTCGTCCCCTCTTCCTCGTTTTGCCTCTTTCTCCGGCTCCATTTCCAGATACCGACTTCGCGTTCCCTCGTTCTCCCCCTCCCCCTCTCGGCCGCCCCGTCAGTCGTTTTCGCTTCTTCTCCCTTTCCTTCGCGCCCGGAGGAGTTATCGCGTATCGTTTCCGGGTGCGAGGGGCCCGAAATTTCCGCGGGCCGATTCCTCGGTCGCGCCGTTTCCCCCTTTTTCGAAAGCGAAACCGAGGCGAACGCGATCGTCCCTTCGAACTTCCCGCGGAAAAGCCCGGGAGGGAAATCCTAACCTCGATTCGCGTTCACGGGATGGACCCATAATTTCGCGACATCGGTAACCTCGCGATACTCTCTCCTCGTGCCGGGATTAAAATTCGTAACGAACCCCTTTAACGGATACGCTAAATGCAATTCAGCTCAAACGAGGAACACCTTTGCTCGATAAAACCAACGAGTGGACCCAAACCTGTAGAAAGTTGGACGATTGACCGTAGCCATTTTGAATCATCCGTCAGATACAATTTGTAGAACACGAGCTATCATATAAAAGGAGACGCACGGCCGGCGTGGTCTCCGTGGTCCCCGGAGCCGGGAATCCGGGGCTCCGTTGCGCTCGGGTCCAGGGAAACGAATAACATCTCTCGCGGGCTCGAAGTGAAGTTCCGAGAGGAGCGAGAGAGAGAGAGAGAGAGAAAGAGAGATCCGCGTGCGCGCGCGGAGAGCGGGCGGCGAGGGAGGGAAAGAGGAGGAGGAGGAGGATCGGCACGTAGCGGGTCGGGGGAAGGGGACAGAAGAAGATAGAAGGAGAGCCGGACGGGAGAGAGATACGAGCGATCGAGCGTTGCACCGGAGCGTGCACGTATGAAAGAGAGGCAGGATAAGAGGAGGGACGCGGAGATAGACTCGAGAGGAAGCGAGAGGAAGCGAGAGAAGAAGAGGACTGGAGGGGGAGAGGGGAGGGGAATCGCCGAGTTCAAGAGAGCCCGAGCGTACTCCGAACGGGGCCCGGGCCGGGTGGAGCGGAGTGGGGAAGGGGAGGGGAAGGGAAGGTCCGGGTGGAGGGGGGATCGGAATGCAGCCGAGTGAGGAATTCCGGCCCCTCCCGCATATTTATCTGAGCGCGGCTCTTGGGGCCTGGGGGCCTCGGGGAGTGAGGCCCCTTTTATAGGGTGTATCAGGGTAGGATGCCAGCGGCATCGGGAGGGGGGAGAGGAGCACTCCGGTATGGGTATGCTAGGAAAGGAATGCCGGTGTTTATAATTGGGGATTCGCGTTCCTCGGCCGAGCCGGATAGGCGCGTCCCACGAGCCGGAAACGGGCCCCGGAAGCGGGGCCCGAAATCCGCGAGCAGCGGTCTCGAGGAATACGCCCTGGATCGGTTAATTCGAGGTCCAAACCTCCGAATCGGAAACTACGTACGTCGGGGCTTCCCCGGGTGGTTTTTCCGCCCGCGCTCGGTTACTGGCGGGCCCCGGAAAGTCCCGGGCGAGATTCGCCTCGAGAAGCCTCGGTTAGGCTTCTACGAATCTCCGGATTCGACGACCTCGAAATTCCACCCGGGTATCGAAAAGGAACTTGGCGCGTCCCGGGAGCGAACGACCTCCGAGGGGTATTTTTGCATTCCTGGAGGAGTACCGCCGGGGCCGAGAATTTGAAAAAGTGAACGAAAGCGCTTCTCGAGAGGGAGAGAGGGAGAGAGGGAGAGAGAGGAGCGCCCCCGGAAGCCGTGGACGACAAAGGGTCACCTCCGGGGCGTCGGAAGTCTTGGGCGCCAGGGCCGGATAGAGACTTCGGGATCGCAACGCGACTGCACTTGGATAAGAGAACCGATTAGGACCCACCGGATACTCGAGTTCGAATTTGACCAGTTAACGGCTTTGCGGTTCCCCGCTATTTTTGGAGCTCAGTGCCAGGAACCGGCTGAAACTCTCGTAATACGCCTACTTCGAGAAGCCCTCCGGCTTCGCAACGATCCCTTGGTGAAATAAATCACCGGGGGAATATTCTCGACGCGGGACCGAAGCGTTGTAAACACGGCATTGGCGATCGCTCTTAAGAAAAATGGCCATCCTGGTAGCGGACTTAA